AATAACTATATAAAGAATCTGTTTTTAAAATTTCATTCAATTTCATCGATTAACTAAAAAGTTATAAAAATGAAAAATGACTGTTTTTGGTGTGAAAGGGTGGTCCATAAGGGGGGTGGTCCATATGTGGGGTAGTTGACTTAGTAGCTATTGGTCAATTTGGTCAATATAATTTGGACAGTTTGATTTGGACAATTTAGTTTGGTTAATTTGGTCAATTTGGTCAGTGTACGAGCATGATGGCCACTAGTCAAAAAACCCACACGTATAAAGACAGGAATTATCGGAATGAATAACTTATCATCAATTATAGTAGCTTGGCTGTTATAGATTATATATTTTGTGACCAATTGTAAGCGGTAGCGTGATTTTTCCCCAGGAACATCACGAGAAAAACATGTATTCAAGATAGTTTATCATGTAAATGGCATGATAGAAACTCTTTTGGTTTGTTTTATAAACCGGTGAAGCCCGGTGCTTAGAACAGATTAAACTCTAAGAACATTGTCCTGTCATATGCGAATATGTAGGACATTGATTCTGTGACCAGGGTAGTCCTAGGTATACCAAGCTTGCTAGGATAGTTATCCTAGACTTGAATTTGTCCTAATCTAGTTGTCCTGGGATAAATAGAGGTCGTGATAGCAGCAATAAAAAATGTGTAGGTATTTTTTTTGGTTTTAGTTTTTTTTTTTTCGTTATTGTTAAGTTACTTTTCATTTATTGCTTCCCCCAACTCTACACTTCTATTCTATTATTCTCATTTGATTTAAAAAAAATCTTAACATACACTTCACATAGCACCAACTCTAATTTGGAAAACAATTCAACAGTCTTGAGTCTAGCCTATGATATGACGACACTTGTTCTACTAATCTGCATGCCAACCTATGTATGAACAGCAGTCGAAGCAGTAGAATTGTTACCATCTTTGGCAGTAGAGGATTTGAGGTCTTTCTGCTTATCTTTCTTCGCAATATCATCGACTTTACGTTCCGCTGCGCTGATAATTTGCTTGCGTAGATTGTTGACATCGAATATCCTCGCCTCCACCTTATTATCCTCAACCATAAACATCCAGGACTCTACACCATGATCCAAATTTTTATTACCCTGGCGACAATGCCGATGAAATCCTTGAGCCACAGTATCTGCATGGTAGTCAGGCTCTAAGAAGGCAACCGATATCGCTGATGCTAGAGTCAGCCCTACGGCAAAGGATGAACTAGTCGAAACAATGTATCTGGCGGTTCGCTGATCCTCGGCTGGTATTTTGGAATCGACATCAATATAAAATTTTGCTAATGCAGCGTTGATTTTCGCTTGACCCATAGGCTTGTATAAGAAAATAATATCCATAGGTTCGATTTTAAGGATGTGTATCATCCACTAAAACTCTTTGATTAGTGATTTATCATGATTCCACGAGTAAAAGTTAAGCATACCAGATACATAATGTAGGCACCCGCAAAGAAATAGGAACAAAAGATTTGTCGTGCCAACTTCTTTTCAGCATCCCTAAAGTATTTGTATTTGTTGATCTTTTTCTCAATCTCACGAAGCTTGCCCGAAGATGCAACAATTTCCTTCAAATTTTTGAAGTATGGATCGGTATCTGTCTCCTGTTTCCATTCTGGGTCTTTGCCTGTGCTTTTCGTTACCCATTCACCCTCTGTCAGTTTCAACGGTATGCCTTCGTCATCGGTAAGATCCATGAGTTTTGGGAAGGATGCGCATAACCGAGAACGATAGTAGATGTTAATATTAGTCTTGTCTAATGACTTATATCCTTTGAGATAGCCATATCTCACTTGATATCTCGCTCGACGTATCTTTTCTCTCTTCTCTAATCTCTTAGATTCTTCTTGACCAAGAGAGTCAACCCTAGGAGTCCAGTATGGTCCATTATCGCATTTGATATCGGAGTAGAGATTTCGTGGTACAATAACAGGTTTTTCACCAAGAAGATCGCTGTTCGTAGTCCATCGAATCATAAGATTCTCTACCAATGGACTAAACCTCTGAGTTATTTCATGAGAGATATTTTGAGTATTGATAGACCTGCTATCAGTCCATTTCTTCCATCTTTCACCAAGATCCTGCAACTCGTTATGCATCCAATTTTGCAAAACTGCATCCTTCCTCCAGCGATCGCAACACATCAATTGAACAAAACCGGAAATATCCAATGGTCCTGTCATCAAAGGCGTACCACTTAACAATACTAATGCGATTCGGTGATAAACTTCATGTCTACAATCATGTAGCAATTTCGCTTCGTTCTTGATATATTGTCGCCTTTGAACATCCTGGATAGCTCTAATAGATTCTGTCCTTCGAAGCTGGAATTCATCTTTGAACAGAAGAGAAACAATACATGACTGATAAGCTGGTGTTTCCCGCTTTTGTCGCTGGGGTTTGGTAATATAGCTTTCCCCTTTTTTATTGGTAGCTTCTTTACCTGGTGGCTGGTACCACCATGTCTTTGTATGCTGAAATTTATTCAAGAACTGGCTGGCAAATGAGTCTGGTGTGGTAATGACAAATACATGCCCATTTTGGAGGCGTGGTTTATAAATTGACGGCTTTTTCGGCTTTTCGGACTCCTGCAAAGATTCATCTTCATCGTTTTGGTAGACTTCTTCCTGAATAACCTCTTCACCTTCTAATAGATCCTGCGTACTATCATTCAATTGATCACCTCCACTAGCATTAGAAGTACCATGTGCTTTGACCAAAATTTGATCAGGAATGCCTTTGAAGCATTGTATATGCTCGGCCTTCCAAACATTCAAAAGACCGAGGGGAACGAGAGCAACAGTAACACCTAGTCTCTCCTTCAACCAGTGGTTTGTACTGTCAGAAGAGCAAGGGCAATCGAAGCCATATGTTCTATACATCTGCTTATTGGCGGGGCATTCGCCATGTACAGCATGGGCCTTCGAATTAGCACATATATCAGCCCACATCATATTGAAGATGTGTTGAATCCAGTGGATCGCGAGTGCTATAGTGGTTTTTCCAATACCCATAATGTGACATAGAAAAATGGACCCTGCAATTCCATGAATTTGACGAAGACTATACCATACACCATGAAGTTGACAAGGTAGTAGTTGATGCCCAAAACCGCCAGGTACCTTAACACAGTATACTGGTTTCTTTAGAGTGGGCTTATGATGGATAAACTGGCAGACTTGAATCCAAATTTGCTCGTTGAAATGCATACATGCTTCAGAGTCGCAGCCTGCTTGTAGCCTAGAAAAATTAGTCAATGTGCATGCGAGAGCTCAAACATTACACACCTGGTTAATTCCTCGCGTTGAAGTTGATCGATATATTCCGACATTGCAGCATCATACTCGTCCTCATCTTCAAAATCTTCCCTATCTGGCTTTCCTGTAGTCTCATTCGAATCGGAAATATTTTTCAATAGAGTTTCGGGATTGATAAGAATACCTTCCTCTTCTACATCCTCATCCGTCTCTGATTGCGATTTCTCGAGTTGTTTTTCCAAAGATTTTGAGCTTGGAGACTGGACTTCTGGGTCCAAAATGGTAGGCGCTAATGTATCCTTCACCGTTCTGTTCTCAACTTGCGGTTGTATTAAAGGTTCATCACTCGCATTTGCATATTGAGAAGATAGAGTTGAGTTTTTAGCCCTTTTCTTTTTGGGTTGCTCTTCTAGCTGCTCAGATCCCTGTCGTTTGTTGCTATTTGATATCGCTGCTGCCTTTGTATTATGGAGGGCAACGAAGTTTGAGGTTGGGCGTGGTGCGATGAGACCTGGAAAAGGTGCTTCGTTCTTGGAGTTGAGTTGCTCAACTTTTCGTTTATCGTTATCATTATCAGTCTCTTTCTCTTTCATTCCTTTTGGTATAGCTTCGTTGTCTTCGTCGTTCTGCTCCACGGTCCCATCATCATCAACAACATAAGATTGCTGTATCACTCCGACGAGATCCGTATATAAAACTCGGTATACCATTCGCGTATTCATTTGAATATCATTGACATTGTTCAAGTCTTGATCATTCGAACGAACGGCACACCAAAAGTCAATCCCAATGCCTGTGGTTTCGGCAAAAATGGACCAATTAACATTGTAGAATCCATTGACTGGAACCAATTCGCTAGCGATAAGTAAGGGATTGGGGATGCTAGGACTGAAGTCGATTTCGAAGTCGGTTTCCTCTATTTTAGGCCTTGTACTCTGATATGACCAACCTCTTTTCCCAGCACCACTATTCGCGATGTCGTCTTTGTCGTTATCCATCACTTGCGATGTGTTCACACTTGAACAAACAAATACCATTATAGGCACTTTGTAATCTATGACTTGGTTTGCCACAGATCCCTCTTCATTAAAGAATTCCGACATTTTAATAAAGGGCAGCTGGTCAATAGAGCCGTCAAAATAGTAGTGGAAGAGGAAGAAGTAGTTGAAGAGGAAGAAGTAGTAGAAGAGGAAGAAGTAGTAGCAGTAGTGGAAGAGGAAGAAGTAGCAGTGGAGGAAAGAGAGGGTAGAGGGGTAACCCTCTTATAACCCTTGATATTCATATTTTCTTATTATATGCAACGCGTATAATAAGCGGGCATTGGTCCCCAGCATTTGTTTTCACTTCCCCAAATCGAACATATCTATTTTTGTAAAATAAAAAGTTATCTGCTAGTGCCTATAGGGTCTAGCCGTCCTATATAGTCTTAGACTGAAGATGGACGTAAATTAAATCAATCAATAGAGCCGTCAACAATGCAATTTTCCCCCTAGTCAGTATTTAGCATTTTACTCCCAAAAATTGGTATCCGGCAACATACTGGTTGGGCCCACCACTGAATGGTCTTTACTTGCTTTTCTTTTTTCATCTTGCCATTTTCATTCATAATACAGTCATTCACAATATCTGCTTGAGGCAAATTGGCGTGCTTTTTCTTATCATAGTATTCCTTCCTTGCAAGGCCTATCCAGTAATGGCTTTTTCTAATCGACATAACAGATGTGACTGCCCGGATTATGGCGCCATAAGCCACGATTGTCGCACTTTTCACAGTCAGATACCGATAGCCTAGTTCAGCGGGTGATATATGCCAACCTATTGCAATCTCCCAAGAGTACAAGTTTTGTGTTGCGAAAGAAAGGCTTCTTCTTAAGAAAATTTTTCATGCATGTTTGCAAAACTATAGAATTGCTAGACCCTCCCATCAAGAAAATTTTTGAAGGTGGAGGGCAATCAGGTCGTGCATGATATTTCTCATACTGTTCGGTGAGGAAAGTTGTAGTGAGACGCCTCCATTCATCGAACCAAGATTTCATTTGATCTCTAATACCAAAAATAGTAATTAGCAATGGTAAAGATGTAGCAAGGGAGGTTTACCTTGTAACTGTGATCCTTTGTCCACAGATGCGATACGCCCTATCAACTTCCTTCCCAGACTGTCCTGTGTACGCATGCATACTTCTGACAAAACTCGTTTTTAAATTGGCTAGGTCCGATTCAAAGTAATCGAGATCTTTTGACTCTTTCTTACATTGGTTATAGATGTGCGACTCCCAAAGCTGTAGAACAGTCCTCGACCCTGCAAACAATGCTAATAACAATATCAGCAAGACTTCTCACTTTTACAAGGCTTAAAAGAATGACTGACCGGCGGGTGGCATGATTTCTTCAACTTGAGTCGGATCACTAGATATCTGACGACAGATGCTGAAATCCTAGACTTTTATTTAGTAAGAGATTGGTGAATGATGGGGAACTTTACGAACAGATGTCCCTTTACCAACGTCAAATGTAAAGAAAACATCGCCATCCATCATTCCTGATTGCTCTGGGGATTGGTGTATCAGTCCTGCGATGGAACTCTCTATCTCTGATTGCAGCATATATCTGCCAATAAGAACCGGAGAAGCATCGAGAGCAGAAGTATACAATGTAATGCTATCCTTATTCCAATTAGATGGAATGGTAAAAACCCAAATTAAATCTCCTTTAAGATTGTCTTTAACAATGTTTGATGTCACCAGCTGCGCAAGCCAAGCGATGTAATCAGCTAGCATCCAGATCTCTGGGTTAGCTTCCAGCTCAGTATCACTATATCGAGTCCTAAGATAAGGAATCTTGAGTGCAAAATTTCTGAGAGCCTCTTTTTTGTCTTCTGTTTCTGGTCCAGAATACAATGCCTCCTTGATCCTATCAACAACCACTGCACCAGTCTCATCACCTACAGGGTCGACTTCGTATCCATGTTGAGCTTTGGATTCATCAGTTTCGCCAGGGATATGAGCGCATATAGTTGGGACTTCTGTTGTGAGCTCCGGTCGCTGATTTGGATTATTGGAATAGCGATAAAAATGGGTTGGCTTGATGCTTTCCAAATTCGTGAACTCCCCCGACTCGACCTGGATGTTGTCATGGTTTATGCATGTGTTTCCGGTACCAAAATCGCATGCTAATACTTTGTAAATGCCGTCACAAGGGAAGTAATCTCGTAACGCAGCTGGGATGCGACCTTTCAAACTCGATCTTGATTGGCCAGCCGTCTTCGGCGGTGGTTTATTTTGACTTCGTGTCATCTTTGATATTTGGGATGGAGATACGCTTATAATAGAAGATAAAGAGGTCAGGCGATTATAGCTGAGCTATGAAGACTTGGTAGCACAATACTCTAACTCACACGTTTTCAAAGGTGTCAACGCAAACAGCAGAACCTGTCGTGATATATCAGTAGAGTGGTATAGAATTGCATAGGATCAAGAATGATAGGCTATCGTAATTATGCCCTGATGTCTTGAGAGCTCGCAAAGATAAGAAAAGTGTGGCAAGGCTGGTGGCAAGGCTGGTGAACGAGTTTTCGGTGCAGGTGAGAGGTCATTAATTGCAATCAATAGAATAGGAATTCTCAGCGCGTGTCGCAAAATTCAATCGAACCCCACAGTCAAGTGGACTACTTGCCCTCTTAATGTTGCGATTGAAAAGAGAGGAAACGAAAAAAGTTCACGATGCTTCATTTGTCGGGGTATTTTAATCAATGCTGAAAAATGAAAATACGAAATGCGAAGATCAAACGCGCGCGATCAGGTGATTCGGCTAATTCATCGCGTCGCGTTTGGCCTTTTCCGACTTGTCAGTTTTATTTCCTTTTTAACAATAATCATGTGATGTATTATACAATAACACTTCTTTGTTTATGACTTTTGTATATTTGAGTTAGTGTTCAAAGAGACGGTTGAATCTCACAAAAGAACACTCAATGGAGACTGAAATATTATTGGCATCTCCCGAAAAACACTTCAAACCATGCGACTGTTGCGATTTCAATCCTCAGGAATGGCCTTTCAGGATTGCTACCTTGCAAATCCGGAAATGTATGAATAGATGTGTTTATTGTGGAAAGAAATTTTCACCAGCCTCAAGACTGCGAAGACATCTTAAAGAATCCAAAAAGCATAAAGCTCAGCAATTCACTATTGTAAGTGAAGATGCTGGTAGACCGCCTAGAAAGTGAGTCAAGACTCTTTCTTATTTTGATAACAGGAGGGTTAATAACAGTGCGAAATCGTATAGAAATATCGACAATAGCATTTCCAGTTCCATATCCAATGGAGGGTTATGCCACGCTTCTAATCTGTCCTCCACAACCTCAGCCCACGAAGAACAAATATTGTGCATGGAAAGGGAAGCCTTTGATGATAATGTGATAGGAACGTTCCGAAAGCTCAATCTATCCACCGTTCACGACATTTCACCAGAGATGAAAGAGCTATGGATAAAATATAATGGTAGAGTGCCTGAAAAACACAATGCTCGTCGTTGTTGGACAGATGAACGACCCAGCGATGCCAAACTGTTCACTGCTACCGTCGAGCAGATCCAAAACTCATCTGTAACCTGCATTATCATTCAAAGAGGGGAGCCTACCGACAAGAAAGAAGCCATTCAAGCTGTTGCACAACTAGCTTTCCCGGATCCCTGGAATCCATTAAAGCTGTTAGATCTCCGACTTCCTATTTTAACAAATGATATTCTCAGAGTCCCGAACGACATAGCGCATGCATATGAAGCAGACAATTTACAGGTTCTGCTTACCCCAAAGTATTCTTGGACCCAGCTGCATTTCGGTAAGTTCTTCACACATTAACAATTTGGGGTCTCGATTAACAATCACAGATAACGCAGAGGGCTTATCTGGTATTATTGGCAAGACAGGCAAGAAGATTTTTGCGACTTTTCCAAACAGCCCTAATAATGTAAAACTCTTTCAAAGTACTTTGGGCAGAGAAGCAAAGCTGGAAGAAATTGGCTCGTCACTTGAAGGAGGACTCACATTCACAATAACTTCTGATGATGCCATCGATTTGCCTGGAAACTGCTTCCATGCAGTGTGGACACTTGAAGGCTGCTTTCTCGCAACGTTGGACTTTATCACCCCTAGTACAATTAAGGTCTATTCGAGAATCATATGTGCAGGGTTAGATGAGTTTGTTGGGGCGATGCGCCAGAAAGATTTGTTTGACTGGCTCCTTACATCCTTTGAGATAGCTTATAAAAATGGGTCTGTGGGTGACGCCGTTTCTTCATGGATCGAATTGTTGGATCGCGCAAAAGAATGGGCGTGTGGACATCCTAAATGGTCAAAGAAGGCAATAGGTTTATTTGAGGAATTTTTGTCATCACCCGCTTCGTTAGACCAGATTTGTCCGTGTGGAGGGGGGCAAGGAAAGGCATTTCGGCAACACTTCCGAGACTATCATCTTCTTCAAGTCTCATACCAACGACAGTAGACTAGAGTAATAAATCTCGAAAGAAACTGTGCAAATGACATTAAAGGTGAATTTGGTTAATTTGGTTAATCGTAGGACCAGGACCAGGACCAGGTTAGGCTGCCCCCACTCTGACCCGCTCCTTGGATCACTGACCACACGATACAAGGTCGCAACACGTGAGCTCCAAGTCTCAAAATTGAAACTATTCGGAACTTGCATAACTGCTGCAATACTAAGTCGATTTTGATGATTTTAACACGGTTAGAAAGCCGAGAGTTGAAAATATTGAAATAGTTGAAAATTAATTGCCAGGGTATAGATCCGCTTGAAAAGGTCACATTTATACTCCTTTCCCTTTAAATATATGAGATTCTACCTCGCTTTTATCCTATTCGGGGATGCAAAGACTCTCACCTGTACGTGGTGCATCCTACGAACCTTCGATCTAGTTTACTAGTGTTCGGAGAGCTAAGTAGAGTCGCTGGAGCTGGGTGGTGGTCGTATACTAATCGGAGGCGATACTGGGTGTGAAGGTATTTGCAGCTGAGCGTTGTGTAGGCGCTCGCAACGAGCCTGGAACAGAGGATTACCAGCGAAATGGAGATGAAAACTATCCGACGATCGAAGCTACAACCGACGAATTCAAAGCGGTGCCGGCCTTTACGAGTCTGTTGTGGGGAGCAGAGCCTGACGGGGAACTCATTGCGAGCCCCTGAAGTGGAACCAGTCCTTACGAGTTTGCAGTGGGATGTAGAGTCTGCGAAGGAAGCGGCAGAAGTCGACAGGAGATTTCTGGAATGTCGCGAATTGAGTTGGAATCTTATAACGAGTACGATATGCGGGTATACCATATTAGAGGTTTACAGATGGTTAGGGGAGTAGCGGTGTAGAAAGGGTGGAGCGGAAAGTGTCTATGTAGGGCTAGCAGAGGATATAGGAGAGCGGAGAGCGACTGCAAAGGGTCCACGGGAGCGGAGGGAACGTTGTGTATACTGAGGGAATGGTGTGGAGGTTCCTACGAATTTCAGAGAAGTGCCCCGTAAAGACGGGCCCGACGACGATATACGGGATTACGACTTCCTATGCTTTTCGACTTCGATCCGATATATCTTAAGTGTTCCGCTTCGGTTTTCTAGACAGCTATAAACTATACATTGGGAGGAAGATGATACTAGGACGTTTTGGTTAGTGGGTTGGAAACACTGTGATTATGCTGCTTGGTTAAGGGTGTGAGTGTAGCAAGTCTGTGAGATACGGTCGGTCTTGTGGAGAGGAGAGATCCGGCAAGGTAATGCGAAACGGCATTCATATGCTGCGGGGCGTAGTATACAATGGCAGCGACAGCGACACTGTCTGTATAGCTCGAGAGGACAGATGCGCGTGCCGGTTTACAATAGGGCATTAGGTAGTTGGTAATGAGATGCTGGGTAGGCTTAAGGAGCAAACAAGTAGGGAGGCATGAGGGGAAACTTTGGTCCAAGTGAAACCTCTGAAGAGAGGGCATATCGGAGCCTCTTGGGGAAGTGTGGGTAGGATTTGCTATCCTGTCATTGATTATAGCTATTTTAGAGAACGTAGTCTAGATAGCTGGAATCAATTCTTTACTTGCCTACCTGCACCTACACTCGTCACGGGACCAATCCCCATGACAAGCCGACCCCTGTCCCAAAAATCACACAAACTCAAACGGCCCACACCCCCTGCAGCCTGACCCTCGCCGCCGCACCTCAGGAAAAACTGTAAAAACACCCCCTCGTTATAATAGATATGACTACACAAGCTTACAAGAGCTCTTTGACAACAAATAAGCATGCCCTAAACGGAGTGGGCAACTCACACACAACAAGTTTATCACCAAAGCTAAGGAATGGTATCCCCTCACTTGGCATTGGAACTAAAGCTTGCATCGGAAATGCAAGAAAATTGGCTATCTCGAGGTGCTAAATGTGGATTTCTGTGTTTATATAATTAGTATCTTATTTTAGCCCGTCCTCAGTACCCTTCGGGAGGTCGTGGGTAGGCTCCGCCTACCCCCTGGACGTTAATTTATTAAATAAATAAATAAATTTTATCCTATTCGAGTAATATCGATAATCGGGCGGGATATATAATGAATGATAGTGTGGGTAACTAGAGTAAAAAAGTGGTCCTCTGAGGGGCTATATTTATAGCTTTTAAGAGCAGTGGTAATGCAGCAGCAATAACCATTGCCCATCGGTAGGACTTTTATCACACGGGAAAATGTGCATGCTTGAATACCTTGAGCAAATGTCTTATTCAATCTAAAAGCCATGAAACTTTATCAGAATATGAAGACTAAGGAGGCCGCAGGCAAGCATCGGCAAAATCATATCAATTCAACACTTCACACTAACAAAAACTAAATAAACTTAGATGATCATACTATAGTGACTCGACCAATAAATAACGTTCCTTCAATTCTCCTCGTCAATCGTCATCCTTCTGCCCCAACAAGAATAAAATACTAATGAGACAAATCCTGGTGAAACTCAACGACGAATCAGCGCCCATCTCTGGAGGATGAAAGTGAAGGGATAATGTGAAGCTACCAGAAACCTATATTCATGCCTCGTTGATTGCCTTTGATGCGATCTTAATATGATGAGGAAGCACCCAGCTCCATCGTAATGTTGAACGAGGGTGTAGGTTAATGAGAGATTCCGAAGAAGTATTCCTGTACATCGAAGCTTGATGTTTTTGGTTGCGCCAAAGGAATTTGAGCTGAGAATGAACCAGAGGCAGATACTCGAGACCTAACTTCAGGTTGTTCTTAAAATAACGCACAAAATCTTCTTCAATTGTCCATCCTCCGACCCCAAAACGCTGTTGTGGATGCTCGACTCGCATATGTGACTTTAAATGACGGCGCATGTACCTGCGATGGCATGCCACACAACGAATGACTTTCACTCCTTGTAGTGAGCCCTCGATTGTTGATGGGAATTGCGTATGATTGATTGATATATTCTTGGGTATCGCATCTCCTTTGTGCTCTGGAGGTGGTGATGTAGAGGAAAAATTATGATTCATCTCCACCCGAGAGCTGTGTCCATTTGAAAGTTCCGAAGTGGTAATACTAGAGAACAATCGCTGAAGGGAATTAGTCATTTGAAAATTTTAAGTGCCCAGGGAACTAACCTGTATTGTCATACTTGTTGCTTCTCCACCTGAAGGGATTGCTGCGAGACTGGCAAACTCTTTCAAGACACTCAGCACATCGAATCCCTCGAGTGGAACAACATGTTCTGAATAGAGCAAATAAGGCGAAGAAAATCCAAGAGCTGAAGAAGAAGCTCTCGATGACGGGGTTTCTAGGTAAATCTTGTAGAATGGTTCTAACAAAGTATGAAAAAAATCTTCCACAGTATGAGCTAGCCTTTTCATGATGCTCAAGATTACATATTGAGTTAATGGGTGTTGATCCGATCCCGTTATATATTGGTAATCCGACGGTGATGCTCGTGTAAATACATCTGCAATATGAACAACTTCATCTATAGCTCGTTGGATCGATAAACGCGTATAGCCCAAGGATGCCATGACCAAGTCAACGAATTGTATGCTGTTAAGAGTATAACGGAGAAGGCCGTCCAGCGTAGATTCTCGGCTCTTCGAGTGATCGGAAGGCTGAATTAGATGGTGCAGGTTATCTTGATTCCGTGTAAGCGGTTAGAAGCGAAGGTGTGTTACACCGCTCAAAAAATCCAGGGAATTCTATGCGTATTAGTTTCCAATTCATCAGAAGATCCAAGTCCTGTTTCGGCAGACTGGCATCGTGCAGATACTTGAGAGTTGAAAAGTCGTATTTCTTCTTAATCTCATTGAGCTTTTGGGCTCCCTGTACTTTCTCTGTGAAGATTTGGCTAAACTGAAATGAACTCATGTTGAAAGTAGAAAGTATGGTATTTCCAAGTGCTGAAATGAAGATAGAAGACAAGATGATCGTTTATGGAAAAGGATGGCTGTTATCTTTGGGAAAATTGATCATCATCGGTTAGCATATTGTATAGGATTTCAGGCAAACTTTGGCTTTCCCGATCCCCTATGTCCTATTCCAAGGGGTGGTACGCTTTACATGAAAGGAAGAAAAATATCCTAGCTGAGAGTGAGCTCAATGTTTGTCTTGGATGTTTTTACAAGCCCCCCTTGTAGAAGCACAAAACAAGTAAGGAGATTAATGGCTTGCTTCAATGCTTTTTATTTTTGGGCTACTAATTAATCCTCAAACATCGATACATATGGTCCACCTACTTGAGGGGTATGATTAAGGAGAGAGTTTAGAGAGAACTTATCAGTAATAGGTGAATTGTGTGGTGATTGGATGTTGATGTGGAACACTCCACAGGTTGAAATAGAAACCATACACCTAGAGATGAATAGGCTAATGTGAAAGAAGGTGATTGGAAAGAAGTCCCTAGTCTAGCTTCATGATACATATTCAAATACAAATTTAGCAACAGAAGTATCTTTCTAGGCCAGCTTGAAAATGTGTGTGTTGTCCCATTCAATTGAAGTAAATGAAGACCTGAACTACCTCTTCATACACCCTTCAATATCTGTATGCCTTAGTTCTTTGAAACTTTCGTTAAGTCCAAAGACCTGGGACTTTTTCTAAGTTCATATCCACACTCTCCACCATCATCCCCATGACTACCTCTAGGTTGATTATGTGATTCGTTTTGATTGGTAACATCTTTATATCATCAGTTAGATTTTAGAAACTGGAATGTTTGCACATACCGGAGGATCTAACATCAGTGGGAGGTCCCACATGGAACTGATTACTTTTCGTCCCGGTGGCTGCCTGTTGCTTGGGCGTGGAAGTTTGTGCTGTGTTCTAGCAAACAAGTTGGTTCTTTGCTGCCGATCATTGACAAATCTTGTAGTAGCAGATAGTACCATATTGACTGAATGATGCTGTGTTTCTCTCTGATTTCTTGACATGATTATGTTGGGTTTGATAGTTGCAACAACCCACAAATCACGTTGGAGGCGATACCATTCTTATACTATCTGAGATCCGGAAAGCCCTGGGCGGCTAGCCAATATCAAGATATGTGATGATCTGATTAGGTTCATATACATTTTCTGATTTGAGAAATCATTACGTACAATTGATCCGTCACATTGATTATTGTTTAACCACAGTGTGAGTTGAAATTGCTTGTCTTTTGCTATTGGCTCAGGGGACGGAACGATACATATAGACCTATCATTATCACGGAATAATTCATGAGCGTTTGGCTCCATCCGCTGAGAGACTGACTGAGTTGATTTTAGCTGCACATAATGAGCCGGAATATGCGAGCAACAGTTAGTCTTTATTCTACATAATGGAGACTATATGCGTATTGAGGCCCTTGCGCTAGTGCTTGCCCTAGCCCTTCGCTAGTACGGCACCGGTGCTCCGGTACAGTAGATGACTATACCGACACTGGCAACTCTTTAAAATCATGCCAAACCGTACCCAAAGAGTATACTAGTCCTCCATCCTGTAGATTCCTGTGAATATCTGAAAAACTCCCTCCTTACTCGCGTTCCACCCATTCCGTCACCTTAATCCTGACCTTGTTGTCGTCGATTAGTCCTCTCAATGCTTGACAAGGCTTTCCCTTAGTCATAGCATCCGCTGGGTTCGATTCTCCATCAATCCATTTGACTTCCGTGATCTCTCTATACTCATAGGATTCCCGAAGAGATATGATATCGATCATTAGTCTCTTTTCCGACGTGGTCCCGAGTTTCGTAAGTAGATCATATGCCGATTTTGAATCAGTACAGACCACCAGTGGAATGGGCTTCTCAAGTTGTAGAATCGCCGTGATTGTTCCCTTGATTGCTGCACCTGAGTCGAATCCGAAGGTTAAGCCGTATACTTCCGAAGCTAGCACGCTACGAGTGACTCTCTTGCATTTGATGGATGACCAGTGGATGATATTGGCATTGTTATCCTTGTCAACTAATGCAATAACATAGCCAATTTGAGATGATAAATCTTGATTATTAGCAAAGGATGCATCTGTGAAAACAATCAACTTTAGGGAATCTAAATCCAATGAAATAAATTTGAGTCCTCTCTTCGAATTGTCCATCTGCTATTGGATACGTTTGTTGAGTGCTTTCGTATCTTTCTCTTTTGGGTGAACAATTTGGGCAGCAACAGAAAGATCGAACGACGCCTCTGGTTGGTATACAGATGCAATATAAGCTCCTCGTGCCCGGTGAGCAACATATTGATCCCTTGGCGTAGCTGATCTTCTCACTTTTCCTTTAGTGCCATGGATATCAGCCTCCTTGACAGTGACTAGTCGAAGGTTGTCGCATTGCTTCTCTTGGTTAAGGTAGATTTCGTCTTTTTCGAGAGTAATAATCCCTCCGTTGAATTTGACAGGGGTATTTTCGGTGAGTTGTTCCCTGTTTTTAGCAAGAAACTTCGCACTTTCGAGTTGTTCCTGTTCTTGAGTCAAAAACAAGGTATCTCCTACTATAAGAGTATCGTCAGTTTGAAGTCCTACAATACCGAAACCGTTTTTGGCTCTGTCTTTGGTGTACATGAGACAGGGATTGTATGTTGACTGAGCCATCCCTAGTTTGCTGATATGATGATTGTGATAGGTATTGAACCAATGGTTTCCAGCTTCTGGGACGCCGTAAAGGGGACGAATGATTTGAAAAATGAAATTAGGGCCTATATCGATTTCGGCTGGTGGTCGAATATAGAATAATCTACTAAGATCGGTAGTAGATTGCACATATGCCTGAGTGATATCTCATAGATGCAATGATATATCCTTTTTGCTTGTTAGAAGTGTAACAGCAAGTGCTAGAATAATACGTTGACTGATGTGTTGAATAGTAAGCGACTAAGTCAAAACCAATGTCTTGTTCTGATCCTTAAAAGCTTGAACAATTAATCTTGACTTGGGATACGCTTTATCAGTGCCCTCATTCTTGATTTCGTCAACAAAACGAGAGTTGAAGATCCTAATGCCCTTGGGAACTTCACTAAGAGGAACAGTCTTGAAAACACTATTCTCTATTAGTCCATTGATCTCCTTGCGTCTTGATTCAACATAGATAGATGGTATTTCCTGGGCAGAACCGAAGAAAGTTTCATCTGTGTAATCAATATGCTCCTCCTCATCGGTCTTGTCTTGACAAAAGATTGAAAGTTGTGGTCCTTGGACAATTTGGTTAATTTGGTCAATTTGGATTTGGTCAATTTGGTCGATTTGGTTAATTTTGACTTGGTCGATTTGGTCAATATTAATGATATTGGATAGGTTACTTCGGGCGTGACTGCGTAGTTGCATATGAGGCTGGATAGTTGGTGGTGATACCTGTGGTTGTGGTAACTGTTGTTGCTGTTGTATAATGACTTGTGGGGTGCTCAAAGGTCGTCGTAGTGGTGCAGGTGTTCTAGCTTCTTGTTCGATTTCTTGCTTTTTACCAGGGTTTTCTGGCTTTTCGTAGAAGGGTTTCACAGCAGTGCTCCTAAACTTAATTGATCCGCTTGGGAGTTCTATATTGCATGTTTCATTCTTTATTGCAAGCAATTTGAATAATTCTGTTTATTTTCCTGGTTTGTTGTTTCCTTTATCCGGTTGTTTCTTGTCTTTGTCTTTGCCTTTCAAACCGTTGTAGTATCTTTCTGGAGATGCTATTGATTTTGCTGGGTTTCCGGGTAGTGATGGCGATGCTGGTTGTTGTTCAAAATCTGTATAAATCATATGGGTACATATGCCAGATCTGAATTTTGGGTCAAGTTCGGGGTTATTCTTAATGAAGTCCTTGATTTGCGCCTCTGTCCATCGAGTATATTTGCTTGTTCGTGTTGCGTTGAATATAGCAGTTGCAATATCGGGTCCTGGAGCAATACAGAGTCCTCTGTAGCGTAATGTCTGCCGAATTTGCTGTAGTAGGTGTCTATCGATTACTGATATGTCCTCTAGTGTGAATTGTCCGAAGTCATAATAAACTAACTCCGCCAAATCGATGTCAATAACATTCTCCTCGTTGTATTGAATACATTTGTATAAGGTATATTCATTAATTTCGTCGATATCTGCATTGGGATCTTTATCGACGATGGTCCAGTTCCGATATTTCTTTTTCGCAGCATAGTATTCGAGCTTGCTTTGTTCGTTTTCTTGGGAATGTTCCGACATGATGCTTGAAGGTATAAGGAAAGGGTTCTAGAGGTTTTAGGTAGTGTTTTTGTAATAAAGAATTTGAAAAAGTAAAAGAGTATTTTGAAAGAGTTTTTCTTGAAAGAGTTGATATGCTAATTTGTGATCACTAATTAGTGTTGGTATCAACGGGAACACCTTTCAGGTCTACGATAGTAGAAAGCCCAACGAGTGTTCAGTGTTGATAATCTTGTAAAACTTATTGAAAAACTATTCTATATAATGGAGACTATATGCGTATTGAGGCCCTTGCGCCAGTGTTTGCCCTAGCCCTTCGCTAGTACGGTGCCGGTGCCCCGGTACAGTAGATGACTGTACCGACAGTCTTTTTTTGTGGAAGCGCGTGTTGTCAATTTTAGCAGACTTGGTTGTATTATCTGATACACCCCTGCAGTCAAAACAAGAACAAAATAGATTTCGCCACCACGGAATACCACCATATACATCCTGTGACATCGTTTCTTCCTCTAGCACTCTGTCCTTTGCTGTAACGACTGTCATAATGTCCTCTCTCACAGGAATTTCTGCTAAGTAATTCCCCCCCGAAGCCAATTCTAGCATCGAATCCTCAGACAATATTTTCTTAGCATATCCTTTCATGAATTTCCACCGGAAACAAGTCTCCGTGGGCTACCTTAGAACATCTGTTCACGTTCATTTTATCCTGCGCAAACTCATTGAGTACTTTCCAAATATCAGTGGCTGCATGATAAGCCTCGTCTGTACTATCGACACTCTCTGAAGACCCTTGCTCATCCAATATGAACACTTGCAGCTTCCCAGAGGCGACGTTCCCGGATGCACCCGAATCTAGTTCCGGAACGATTGATAAAGATGATGATATCATGATAGGCATGGTGGCACAACATAGAAGACAGGACCGTGGACAGAACGATCAGTCCCGCCACCAGAGCTTCGAACGAGATCAAAGACCATATAGCTCGAGTCAAGGACGTTTTAAAGGGTGTTACAACTGTGAAGAGGAAACACACATCACACAAAACTGCCCATACAAGGAGAGCATCCGCAAGTTTGTCAGAGATCTCATTAAGAAGTCACCAATGCCACCAAGCAAACACATGTCTGCAAGCTGGTGTAGTCACGAAGCTTCACCAAACAACAATGCCTTTCGGCCCACTCGCAAACAAGGTTACACAGCTGCAAAGGTATCCGACAAGAAAGAAATACAGCACTTTCCAAGTGAGTTTGCACACCTCTCTTTTCATGGCAATACCAAACAGTGGATTGCAGACACTGGGTGTTCATCGCATATGACTGATTAGCTCCACCTTTTATCTAGCATATAGCCATTCTTAAGGCCACGCAGGATCAAGGCTGGAGGGGGAGAGTTGATAGCGAAGGAACACGGTATAGTGGAGATTGCATGGAACGGTATAATACATAAACTAAGGGCATTATATATCCCAGGGTTAGGTGCAAACTTATTATTTGCAAGATCATTCTGTGATGAACTACAAGTCAAAGGAGCGTTTAATAATAAAAGAATGTACTTTCACAAGGAAGGAAAGGTTATACTCAATATAGACAACTTTCATGGAATATATATGATCTGCAACCATAGAAACAACTATGACTCAGTGTTCCTAGCTGTAGAAGAAGAGCTGCCAAAGGAAACATAAGACATCACCTACAACGAAGCCAAGATTCGATCAAATGGAAGTGCAAAAGCAGAACAGACTCAATCGATATTGGCTATAGTATCAACACTTTGGGCATATGGGATACAGTGTACTGAGTAAACTTCACCTAGTCACAATACTCGAAAGAGATATCCGCCAGCCAAGTAAATTGAAGCTATAAATGATCCGCTATATAGTGTTCAGTGGTAAGAAGCAATAAACAAAGAGATCGAGGAACTCGAAAAGAACAAAACGTGGAGACAAATCTTCAATGATGGCACCAACAATCTCGTGAGCACAAAGTGAGTATTTACCACGAAACTGAATGTTGACGGCTCATTGGATCGTTTTAAGGCACGGCTCGTTGCGAGAGGATTCACCCAGAGATTCGGGATCGACTTCTTCGACACATTCGCTCCCACGGTACAACAGGCAACAGTGAGATCGTTCCTGTCGATAGTGGCATCACAGGACTTGGAAGCATATTACTTCGATATCAAAAACGCATTCACTGAGGCTGAGCTGAAAGAGAAGATCTTTCTCTCTGCTCCGAAAGGAGTACAAGTCAAGCCAGGACATATCCTGCAAATCCTCCGCAGCTTATACAGTTTGAAACAGGCTGCACGCGATTGGAACGACTTGATTAAGAAAAGCCTGATCGGATGGGGATTCACACAAAGCCTTACAGATCCATGTTTGTTTACACACAAAGAGCGAGGCATCATAATACTCCTATACGTTGACGACCTTCCGGTTGCCGCAAAGAACCTCGATGACCTAATGTGGTTCAGCAAACAACTTACTTCCGTTTTCAAAGCCAAGAACCTGGGGGAAATCGAGAACTCTAAGCTTCTTGGTATGAGAATCAAAAGAGATAAGAAGAACCGAACATTCTATGTCGATCAAGAGCAATACCTGGAGAAAGTCCTGAATAGGCACGGATTCACAAAGGAAACATCCAAGCCCATAGCTACCCTAATGGAAGGATACGATTCCCTTCGACCAGCAAAGGAAGACGACAAACGGGCTGACCCCACTAAGTACAGCAGAATTATCGGAGAACTGATGTACACAATGGTGTACTCGAGACCTGATATAGCATTTGGTCTAGGAAAGCTCAATCAATACATGAAAGACCCGGCCGAGATCCATATGCACAAACTACGGAGAGTCATACGATATCTACGAACAACCATCAGGTACAGACTGCGTTTCGGACCAGGGGGAGTACAAAACCTGGTGATGTATTCTGATGCCGATTACGCAAGTGAAATCGTCGACAGGAAAAGCACTTCAGGAGTAGTCGCCTTGCTAGGAGGAGGCCCAGTGTTCTGGATGAGTAGGAAACAGAACTCTGTCTCAACATCAACCACCGAGTCAGAATATATAGCCCAATCCATCGCGGCAAAGCAAGGATAGTGGCTGGCCCAAATACTCCGAGATATGGGATTCAGACGGCATGTAGCAGATGATGGCTTCGCAATAGAGATGAAGAGAGACAATCAGGGTACTATAGCACTTGTCAAGAATGCTCAACTCACCGACCGGTCAAAGCATATCGACGTAGCGTACCACCACGTTCGGGACTTGAACGCAAAAGGGAAAGTCAATATCAGCTACATTCCAACCGATAAAATGATTGCAGATGGATTAACGAAACCACTGGTAAAGGATGCATTCAGGAAGTTCATAGAGATGCTAGGCATGGTAGACTCGCCGGATCCCACCCCTGTGGACACGTGACGTGCAGGTAGGTGTAGATAGGTGTAGGAATGGGTAGTGAACCTAAAACAGAAGGAGTATTGCACAACACCACGCTTGCCCCAAGGAGGAGTGTTGAAGGATGGTTCTAGACCCTATGATTCTACCCTACAAGCTTCCCATCTACCCTGTGAAGAGTCATACTTGAAACGGAATACACAATATAATGATTATAAGAATATATTCGAGTACCATACAATAGCCTGAGGATTTGTCTAGAAAGTAGAAAGTTCAAGTTAGAGAGTTGGAAATTTGGGTTTTCTCTCCATTAGTAGCACACAAGAATCATGTGACCGTAGTAATTAATACAATAATTATGCAACCGTAGAAATTATGCCCGAATTATGCGACCGTAGAAATTAATCTATATATTGAGTCGTGGTGGCCTGAGGCCACTATGCTAGCTAGGAATGGGTAGTAGGCCCGTGATGTACAGCTAGGTGTGTAGGAATGGGTAGTGAACCCGTGACAGCAATGATTCATCACCATCGTGACTCTTGGCACCATTATTCTTCGATGTGTAAGCCATAAATTTGAATGGATATTTGGTAACATAGGCGTAATCGCAATTATCCCGATTATTTTGTTCTTCGGAACTGATATTCTAACAAAGGAAGATTTCAACAATTTCTTATAAACCATCATAATTCTCCCCGCTAAAGGACTCTCTCTTGATAAAGCTATCAACTCCTCGAGATTGCTACATACTATTGCTAGCGAAATCACTAAAAGTTTATAGCATACTCGTTGTATTCTCTTGTCTTGTCCTCGTTGTTGCAACATTCATCAATCCCACAATCGCAGCTCTTATCATTCTTCCATTAATTCATAATGTTGAAGCAGGCATAAATAAACTAAATAAACCACATCCCAACCTTTTGGTTATGAGTGCTACTATGGGATTGCCTATCAGTAGTTTCCCTAATATGAGTATATATTTCGAACCATTTCTATAAACTTTATCAATGCCAATGAACTATAGCCGCAATTATAATGAAAGATTCATAAACTGGATAGAGATATTTACAAGTGAAACATTTCATCACTTGTGGTATACTAGCAAGTATCTTTACATGGCTAGTAATTATTTCAATTGGATATGGATTAATGAGAATAATTGGCATATAACATTTGACCTATAACACCGGTGAATACATCTTTAACCGGGCGAATAGGAATAGGTAATTGTGGTTTCACGACCAGGCTTAAAGGTGAGAAGTAAGAGGGTTCAAATAAAGATGATGGATGTTATACCGACTTGGTATGACTATGAAGAACCAGATACCCCAGTCTGGTTGTGAAAACATGATCTGAAGAATAACAATGTTCTGTGGGGATGCGATTGGGGAGAGTATACCGCCAATGTTCGATGAAAGCGCAATACCAAGAATGATTGCTTTCGACATTTGAGACTCAAAAGGAAGATTGCAAAGTATAGACTAGTATTATCAGCAATAAACCTTAGTAAAAACCTATACCTTTTAAAGCTTATTTGAATGATTGAGAAGCACAAGACAGGTGTAGTAACATTACTGATTCACATACTTGCGAAAGCTGTTACGAATATATTGGTGATAAGTACTGTTCTTGGTCTTGTCCCCACCTTGCTTAGTACGAAAGTGGCTATTCTCTTCGCAATGTCATAGTTTGACAATGCTGCAGCTGCAGTAAATCCACCAAGTAGTAACATAATGACTAGAGTCCACATTGCAGAAAAGATATATTTTCCCACAGCTAGAGCTTCCAACCTGTGATGAGGTTTATCATCAGAGCAGACTACTCCTAGAAGTACACAGAGAAATATAATTATAAGGGACATGACGAAGAGAGGTACAACCTAGACAAGAGTCAATAGAAAATTATTTTAAGATTTTTCAAGGGGTTCCTTACCTCAGTAGACCAGAGCAAACTGACAAATATCAACATTGCTAAACAGTTTTGCTATTCTAGTTTCTTCATAATTGGAATAAGCAATAGTAGATGTTCTTGTAGATGTAATCGCAATTCCTTCTTTGCCTGATCGATACATCCATGAGTTGCCAAATCGGAATACATGCGCTATATTGGGAAAATGTTCTCCTCGATATGTTTGAGCGTTTCTGGTCGGAAAGCGTATGCCGGAGCTACGACATCCTGGAGGTATTTCGACTTCACATATAAACCAACCGCCCGCTTTTTCAACGTAATCCTGGACGAGAAAATTGCATTGAATTCCTGCTCCGTATAATCCTCGTAGTTGTAACTGTTGCGTCGTGCAGACTTGAGAGCCTCCGTTGAAGCATGCATATCCTCTACAGCTCCAAAAGCCCCATTGTTTGAATCATAAAAAGTGCTTTTGCTTTGTTGATTGTTTGGTCTGGACAGCTTGCGTAGCACAGTATTCTCATCATCATCATCGTCACTGTTTTTCACACTCTCATCTATTGACCGACTTACAGCGTTTGGGCGTCTTCCCTTTGGAACAAAAGGTCTGAAGATGCTACTCTGTCGGGGTCGATCGCTATTAAATGCTCTTGGCCGGCCATTCCCATCCGAACCATTCAATCCATCCGTTTGATTGCTTTCCAGAACCTTCGCCTCGAATTCCTCTTGCTCCTTCAACAGTTCTGATACCTCGCTATAAATCTCTAGCTCCTTCAATTCATAGAAAGAGGATATTTTTCCAGTTCTGCATCCAGTGCTCTGCGAAAGATTGTATTTAGGTCTTCGGCCGGTCTAATGAGAGAAGAGTTTTCAGCGTCCTCAGGGACAGTGGAAGGTCGATGCGCATATTTCTCGATGGTACTGGTGGTAAAAATTGTTGTAAAATCTCGTCGTCAATTGGTCGTGTAGAGTCACCAAGTCCCTGCGTGATATCCGAACCACCCTGTTGTTGTGTGTTGCCGCCGATTGAAGAGGTCAGTTTCTTCGGTGTGCGAAGTCGCAGCTGCTAGCGCACGAAGTAGTTAGTACTGTACGGTACTTCACCAAGCTCAAAAATACACCTAAGGTTACACCAATTCCTCTACTCGTGCAGCCAGTAAGTCTAAAACTCCGAGAGCTAAAAAAATGAAGCGAAACCTTCAGAAGGGGGACAGTTTAACCAATAATATCAATCAGAGAAGATGATTTCCAGTATTTTGAATTAGCGTTCGGAGTTGTGCGTCCCTACTACCGCTATTTTCCATCCACTAGAACACTGGACTGGACATACCCTTTCCAATTCAGGTCCCATCCTCCAAAACCTCCTCTCCTCCTCTCCTCCCATCTCACATCTTCCCTCCTCCTTCTCCTCCCCATGATAAAACAAAGACACCCAAACACCAACACAAAACCTAACAAGTCACAAAGCACATCATACTATCGGAATTGGAGGTGGGAAATGGGGGTAATTTTAAAGGTTCTTGATGTTTGATGTTCGGATTCTTTTGTCGTGACTCAAAAGAGTTACCACCAGATTCATTTTACCTTCGCCTGAAAGATGTTTTGACTTCAGTATGTAATTAGTGAGGTCGGTATCAGGCAGTAATCGGCACCGGTCAAAGAATGGCTCAAACATAGGTACCTATTCTGATACATACATACACTACAACGTCGCCCTACTGTACTGTAGTAAGGTTATACCCTTGCAATTGCTTCAATCAAAACACCATTTATTAGAATGTTCTACTCACACCCATATACAGCTTTCAGTTCTCAAATGGTCATATGTATATGTATACCTCCTAGCCTATCTAAGAGAATCAATTAAACTTTCAGAATCAACCAAAAAAAACCACAACGAAATAGACGCCATCAACATCCAGCCTCTTACCTTACACCACAAATTATCACAATATGTCCAATACCTCGGGACCTCCAGCAGATGTTTGTGTGTGATCAGAACAGCGAGTGTCTTACCAGAAAATGGTATCATGGCTCGCCTTCGCCTTTGCCTTCGCCTTCGCCATTGGTGTGCTGATAATGCATACATCTTTGAGTGATATTGAAGAATACATCCCCAATGCATCACCTTTCTTTGCCATGGCTGGGAACAATAAATATTGCAAGAAGGCCAAAGCAGATGTTGTAGCTCAAGATCTAATGCTTGTAATTGAGCAAGGTATTATGGTAGCACGGAGGGAAGATATTGAAACACGACTTTCAGATACACAACGTCTATTCTCTGATACTGTATATCTCTCCTTAATCCAAGTTCTCGAGTCTGATATTACCGCGAGCGACCATACATACAATTTCCTCAGTACTTTACACACAGCAAACGGGGATCTAAGTACCAATGCAAAGGTGAAAGCAACAAATATTCGAAACGAGGCCCTTAACCTTCAAAAAACCATTCAATTTCAAGCCGACTCAAATTTATGGTTGTGGACACAGCTGGCCGACACCGCACAAAATGAAGCATCCGCAAGACACCAAATAAAAACCATAACTTCTTTATTTCAGACCTATGAGAACACCACAAGACATATCATAGCTCTGGTTTTGCAAATGGGATCCGTCGCGGAAGATGCACATTTCGATTTAAACATGGATATTAATAAAGCTCTAAGTGACATCCACCAACAAGGAATACGCGAAAACTTAACTCTCGATCAAATCTTGCGAGATCTTGTAGCAAAGGATGAATTTATACCAAGAGCTAAAACCTGGCTTTACAATATGGTAACTTTACAGATAGAAGGGCATTGAAAATACGACCGGGAGAGAAAAATACGAAAGGAGCTGCAACGTACCCACGAAAACTCGCTTTATATATTAGGGAGGCTACAAACCATTTGCCGCGATTTGAGATACCAGGCAGACTATTCCAGACAACGAGTTGATCAGTCTATTGAAAACTGGTATGTGCTATGGTACCGTTCCCAAACGGATTGCTTTTTTCCAAGTCTTCCTCATTTGAGTGGGAAGTTGATTGGGAATCAAGATCTTCTTGACTGGGTCAAGCAGATTTTGAATTGGACACAATACATCATGGGCTTTGCGAATGCATTGGAGGAATTAGAGGGATTGGGGATTATCCAAAATACCCAGAGCAATTGAGACTTTGACCTTTCCGAAATTTCTAAATAGGATTGATTCTGTCTTTCTGCCCTGAGTGCAGGGTGTTTCAGACTCGGCGACATGCTCCATATGGCTCGTTACAACCAATTGATGCGCCATCTACACTTTTCACACTATCACGATGGATTTTATCCTAGCACTCCCGAAGAGCAAGGAAGGCTTCGACTCCTGTGCCACGAATTCATGCAAGATGTCTAAAAAAGACGACAGCAGTACCAGTGAAATCCACATGGAAAGCATGGGAATGGGCAGATGCGATTATTGAACGATTATGAATATTGGATTGTGGTATGCCGAAAGTTATTATATTTGATAGGGACCGGAAATTTCTCTCCGAGTTCTGGAAGGAGATTTTCCTTTGTTCTGGAGTACAATAATGCTTGTACAGCGCACTCAACCATCTTCCCATCCATGCGAATGGAAGTATCCGATGCCATTGATCTCGCATCTATGAAGATGAAGAGAGCCTACGATCGATTCCATACTCCAATGTTTTTCGGAGTTGGTAACTGGGTTCTGTTGAGGCTCCATAAAGGATACAACATCCCTTCTTCCAAGAAGTTGGGAAAGAAGTTGTCTCAACAGTATACTCACCCTTTGCAGATTGTTGAACGAGTTGGGAGGCTGGCTTATAAGTTGGCTATACCTGAACATTGGCGTGTCCATCCAATTTTCTCTGTGGTCCAGTTGGAACCTTCTACTAGTCCTCATGAAGATCCTTTTCGTCGCCACAAGTTCCAACATGATGAGGCAGTGGATGAAGAACAGAACCCTGGTTATTGGGAAATCGAACACATCCTTGATAAACGCATGACTGGTAAGGGTAAGAAGACCGTTCAATATCTGGTTCGTTACCAGGGATATGAACCAGAGTATGATGAATGGAGAAGTGTGAAGGGCCTCCATTGTCATGAGTTGATTTAGAGGAATATGAGGAGCATGTGTGGAAGTTTACAGTGGCATCGTTGGCTTTCAGTTAAAGGGAGTACGTGATATGGGAATTTTTTCTTTGTGGCATATGAACTTTCTGTCTTTCCAATGGTTCTTTGCTTTCTTTTCGGATCAGAGCTTGTCGACGAGGGCGCCGACGTCTTTTGAGGGGGCATTTGCTACGATCCTTATGACTTTAGGAGGATGATGGCCTTGACATCCAAGTATCACGACATATGCGGCCGCGGAGGCCATTAGCCTAGGACCTCTACATATAAGGGCTGCTATAGATAGTGCAAAAGGACCATGCCGAATTGGAAACTCTCTGTTCCCAGCGGAGCAAAAGCTCCTTCTGCGGGATCCCTTGAATGAGTCAATTTTCCAAGCTCCTTTTGCGGGATCTTGTTCATAAGTCAATTCTCTAAACTTGGTGTGAAAGCATTGTAGGTTGTAAATGCAGGTTTCCGCGACATGTGGCAAGCGATTATCCTTGATAGAGCTTTGGCTGCGTTAGTAGAAGGGCTCGCTTCTAGTTATCTCTTGATCCTTAATCCATTTTACCTTTTCATCACCATATGCATATGCATTGTGACAGTACGCTGATTGAAGTCGACTCTTTATTACACGTTCTTGGACTTGATATCAATAGATATTAATAAGACTGTTGGGGTGATGAACCAATGGGGTTGGTGGAAACATCTTTTAACAGAGCCTCCAAAGCCCGATCGATAGGCAAAATACCACCTCCACGATAAGTTTTGCGACCACAACAGCAAGGACTTTGTTGGTGCCCATATTTCGCAAAGCTCATCTGCCATCATCCTATTCTCTCTTGTATCCACATTGTCGCAGTCATCACAAATTTTGGAGAAAAAAGCTAATGGTGATAATCGATCAGGTTCTCACAACTGTCAAACTCATTTGACATGGCTGCGGTCATTAATTTTGTGTCAGATTCAACACGCTTTTGCCCCAATACAATGATACCCAGTGCCAGGCATCATGGATCTCCGGAGGATTCACTATATCGACAACCTTCCAGATCGAGAGTCGAATCTCCCACTCTCCCCAGTCCACAAACCCACCCCACATCAGTAAATGATGGTACACCTCCTTCAAGCACAAACACACAACCCAAACATGCCGACTCACAGGACCTTAAGCCTTCTCGAACTACATCTGTGGAGTCGGATCGGAGAATTATAAGATCAACAAGGTCTCTTGATGATGTACAGAAATATGGCAGAAACACAATCAAAGTTCGAGATTTGGCACACATTGAGAGTATCGCCAGCGAAGGATTCCTTTCACTTAGAAGTCAATCTGAACGTCCACGTACAGAAGATGATCCCACATTGAAATACGAGATCAGTGGGATGCCGATTACAGATATTATTGAAATGGTAGCGGGACTTTTGACCAAAATCACCACCACGAACGATCGCCAATATGAAACCTTGCAAAGATGCTTTCCATCTGCCGAGCAAACAGCTAATCTTTCCGGACTCACCTCAAGTGTACTCGCATTCCACGGAAAAAATGTGCCTAGCATTACAATTTTGAGTTACTTGACTAGAATACAAAAGTACTGCCCCACAACTTACGAGGTATTCTTGAGCTTATTGGTGTACTTTGATCGAATAACGAAAAGAGTAGTTCTGGGCGGTTCTCGGCCTTCGTCCAGCTACTCTGAAGAGGGCTCAGATTTGGCAGACACTCCACCAGGAGCTAGAAGCGTTCCCGAACTCGAATCAGAACTCGACAGTGCTCAGTACACCCACGCATCGGGTCTTGACTTTTCATTGGCCCAGTTACCTCTCTCATACGTCTTTGTAGTTGATAGCTTCAATATTCACCGTTTGGTTATAGCTGGTTTTGCTTGTGTAAACAAATTCTTCTCTGATACATGCTATACGAATTCTCGATACGCCAAGGTAATCTGTACAATACACTACATTTTTTTCTGACACTGACATTTGTTTAGGTTGGTGGACTACCGTTGAATGAATTGAATCATTTGGAACTTCAATTCTTTCTACTCAACGACTTTCGCTTATCCATCTCCGTGGAAGAATTGGAAGACTATGGCACAATGCTTGTGGAGTTCTATGCTCGGGAGGTTCTTGTACAAAAATAACAAGGAGATGGTACTGTATGTCAGAAGTGGCATGTACATCCGAGGAATGTTGAAATCTCAACGATTCTCCGGGGAGGGTGATGGATGTGGCTAGTTTTTGGTGGATAAATGGATGGATGATGGATGGATGGATGGATGGAGCTAATATAAATACTCGAACAGAGGCTATGACATGACACATGATGAGCAACAAATACATTGGAGATGGATGGATGGATGTATAGATGGATGGATGGGATGGGGAAATGAACAATTATAGAGGTATGGATGGAGGGATGGAGGGATGGTTGGAGGAATGGCGTTGTAGGGAGTAATTGAGTGAGACTACTGGCTGTTTTGATTTTTTGATACTATGCTATTAGTCTTAGTCACGTTGTTTCTCCGTTTATTTTGGGAGGAGGGAGGGAGGGAGAGGGGGGGAGGCGGGGGTGGTATGTAGTTTGTGGAGTAGAATTGAATTGATGGATGGGTTGTTATCTGATGTGGTGTTGTGTGAGATATGGTATGATGTTTTGAGATTGTGTGTGTGTATATATGTATATGCATGTGATATTGAATCAGCAAAGACTTGCGTGACAGAAATGAGATAACTAACAATTACAGCCATCTTAACAAACCAACAAGGTAAAAACATGTTTCGAGAATCATATCCACCCGATATCATATATTTCCTACCCCGTCCCCCCGCGCCCTTCCGTATAAAAATTCCAATCCAATACAAACACCAAAATAGAATCTCCCTCCCCTCATACATTTAAACCCCTCTCATCTCACACACCAAAACTTACACACCACCCATCACACACATCCATCCATCCATCCCACCCATCAATCAAACGCATACCTAGCCAGCGGCCCTCGAAACTCTAATCCCTTGCTCGTCTTCAAAAGCGTCAATGTGATGATTTGGGCATTGTGCCAATCTGTTATGGGTATGTTAGTCGAGTAATTAGTTAGCTAGTTATTGGTTTTTGGTTTCTCTTTTTATGGGGGAGGATTTATGAGATGTATGTTTTGAGATGGGGAGATGGGAAGATGGGAAGAGGGAAGGTAGGAAGAAAGAAGATAAGAGGGAATATGGAAGAAAACTTACAATGTCCGGTTAAATCATGCAGGAGATTGCCGTGGGAAAATACTAGGATTTCTATATCTTTCTTCCTATGCGTATTTTTATCCCTCATCAAACTCTCCCTCTCCTTCTCCCTCGTCTCCACGCCCAACCCCCAAATTCTCCTCACCACCCTTCCCCTCCTCTTCCCCCCATCCATCTCCCCTTCCTTCTCCCACCCCACCGCTACCCCCCCAAAATCCACCCCCGTCCCCCTATATTCCTCCCTCAAATCCTCTACATCCCTCCCCCTACAATTCATCTCCTTTCCCTTCCCCTTTCCCCCCCATTTCTCCCTCAAATCCCCATCCCCCACAATTCTCCTCCTTTTTCCCACCATCAACACAGCCGTTTGCAGCGTACGTTGTAACGGCGAACATAAAATATGTGCTGGATGTATATTTTAAATTTCTGACGGAGAGTGGCGCATTGAAGGGTTCCTTTTGGGGTTAGGGGTGGATCGGGATCGGCATCGAGGTGGGGGAGGTTGTTTTGTGCCTAGGGAGGGTGTTAGTTTGGGTAAGGTATTATGTGAAGAGAGGAGAGTAGAATATAATAGATATGAGATGGATGCAGCAAACGAACCTGAGCATGCCTCGCAAAATGTACAATGATTCTTGGAGAACGAGTTTTAGTCGTGGTCTTAGTAGTAGGAGATACAGGTTTAGGAATCGTTTTCTTTTGAGAGGCTCCATGTTGAGTTTTCGGATGCAGTGTTTTCTGTGACCAAACCCCCATGGTTTTAGCTAGCTGTGGCTTGAACTTGGAGACTATATCGATATTAGTCTGGACTCTGGAGCTTGAAACTGAAATTGAAATTGAGAGGAATTGTTTTGTCACGGTATACTGATTTATTGGGAGGATAAAGCTGGAGAGATAATATGATTGGCAGATTCAATGAAATGGATTATCTAATCAACGATTTGATAATCCATTTTTGAGCCACAATCTTGCATTGCGGACTCGGGGCGTTAAAAACCACTAGGTAGACGATGGACGATGTGATATTTTTGAACTGTGTGGGATGGATAGGATGGATGGATTGTAGCGAGAGGCGCCTCGGTCTCAGTGGCCAACTCCACGCCGCCTCCGTGCCTCAATTAGGTTTATTGATGGGTTGGAGTCTAGAGAAGAATTGAAAAGTAGAGATGAATTTAACTAACTGATCCATCATAGTTGTAGTGTAGTAAAGGAAGTCCAATATCGCCTTTAAGATAAAATGTCTTACTCGAGTACAATAAGAATACTGAATTGAACCAAACCCAACCATACTACTCGTAGGTACATACCTACTAGGTACTCATACATACCATAACCTTCCACCCAAAATTGCCTCACTCACTCCTATCATCCCATCATCACCTCCCATTACATTCATGCTCGCACTGAAACTTTTCACTTTTCACTACTGAGTATCTATCAATCAATCTATCAGTCACTTATTAGCCCGCAAACCAGCCATTCATTCGCCCCAAATGAACTCCATCCCCTTATTCGCCCCATTCGCCTCCCCTCTTCTTCTTTTCCTTCTCCTTCTCATCGTTTGCGGCTTCTTGAATAGTAAAAGGTCGAACACGAACTGCCAAAGGTTCGCAAATAAGCTGTTATTGTGAGACAAAAACACAAAAAGTGTCAAAAGGGTTGGCTGTTTGAAGCTGTCGCAAATAAATCTCGAGCTCTGACATTGCTCAATAATTACTAATATCAGAAAATATTGTCAAGAGGTAATAGTCGGCTCTCCATGGAACGGCCGCCTGGTTCCCAGTCGGGGAAAGCAAATGTCCCCCTTCAACTTTAGGTCCTAAATCATTTGTACAAGATCTTTAATAAGATTATCAATAACCCTAATCGCCCCTGCCCCCCCCCCTCCCCTCCCCTTTTCTTTCTCTCCTCAACACACTAGGGTTGGTGTGATCAAAAGGGTATAAACAGGACTCCGACTATGTACTTAGAATCTACAAGTGAAGAGCTATGTAGGGTGCTAAAAGGAGGATTATATATATAGGTATTGGGAGCTCTAATAACTAGACCCAAAAGACTGAAAAAAAGATTAGAGATAAGCATTGTATAATGCCTAGATCTAGAGCTGTAGAGCTAAGGCTCTAAGCTGTAAAAAGAAGATACAAGAGAACCATCTTATTATACTACATTGTTGGAAGTTGAGTTTATATGTCACGTGTTCTACACCTATGCCTACCTTACCTTACCTTACCCTACCTTACCCTACCTTACCCTAGTTCGAATAGATGCCTTAGGCATTCATCCACTATATAGTTAGGGCCGCTCTGTGCACCTCCTCCTCTCCATACGTTGTACAATATACCTTTCTGTAGATAGTCAATAATACTGCTACTTCCATTACGCTATAGGGCATCACTTTCTAATATACATACATAATATAAGCCAATGGACAGAAGAGAGCCGTCTGTTCCATCACAATTCCCTATTACAATTCCCCTAAGCCCTCCATTTGTGACGATATAGATTATCAGCTGTTCTTAAAATTAAAATCACCTATATCCCAATAGGTTTTCTATTACTCCCTTCCAGATTCCAATTTCTTTCGCAATCTTAATTCTTATATTATCTTACAATACCAATACCCTTTTTATCTATAATCTTATTATGAGAAGATTTCTATAGAATCATTTCAAATGCAATTCGATCACTTAATTTCATTATAAGATTAGAATACAGTAAATTACTCTCATACCACTGAGATTCTATATTAGAATCTATAATAGAATCTATAATGAGAGGGTTTCTACAGTGAGAGAAAGGTATATCTGATAGAAGTGTTTCTATGGTGGGGGGCTTCTATAATGGAAGGGTTTCTATAATGGGAGGGTTTCTACGGTGAGAGGGTTTCTATGGTGGAAGGGTGAATATGGTTGAAGTGGTAAATACAATGGAAAGGTGGAGATCTATTGTGAAAGGGTAGAATCTATAGTAGGAGGATAGAATCTATAATAGGAGGGTAGATTCTAAGTGGTATGATAGTAATTTACTGTTTATTATATTCATTTAATTATGAGGCTATTTTATAATGCCTTATGTACTAGACTTTCTAGAATCTTCATTCAAGTTTATCAAGAACTAATAATAATAAGAGATTAAAGTGATATTTTATGTACTAGACTTTCTAGAATCTTTATTCAAGTTTATCAAGAACCAATAATAATAAGAGATTAAACAGGAGTTATGAATAATTCTATTAGTCATTATATTCCTATAAAAAAAGGTCTTCTTTCTTTTTGAAGTTGTTCAACTTTCTTCCTTCCTGATATAATATATCTCTGCCCTCCGAAGTTAAGCCTATTCACAACCCACATCCACATCAATACTTAAACTTTCTATTTCAAAAAGAAATTACTTGGTAAGTACACAAACCAATACAAACTTTATCAATTCAACATTCATTAAAATGGATTTCAATCACCCTTTTTCAGAATCAGAATTCAGAATTATCATCACTAACAATGAAGAAGAAGCCCAAGAAGAAATGGCGCAAGCAAAAGTGATAATGGAACTACATAACGAAATACGAGAATTACAAACAATACACAAGGAAGAGCTTACTTCCACACAAGCAACACACAAGGAAGAGCTTGCTTCCATGGAAACAAAGCACAAGGAAGAGCTTGCTTTGATGAAAACAAAGTATAAGAAAAAGCTTGTTTTAATGAAAGCAAAGGTTACTATATTGAAGCAAGTTATTGGGGTTGCAATTGCAATTGCAATTGCTTATTTTCTTTTCACACAAAAGGTAAATCCTCCTTTTCTTCAAAGCGATCGGAATATAGCTAACTCTTATCTTTTTTCTTTTTTTTTAAAGAACTTACTTCTTACATTACCCGATTTAAGACTTAAGTTTTACTTCTCGAATACTACAATGTTTGGTTAAGAGTTTGGTATACGAGAATTCGGTGTTATGATAGAGTAATAGGGTGGATATCAAAACGAATCATTTCATCGCTGGGGAGGTACAGATAATGGGTGGTGGGTGTTGGATGTGTTTGAGGGTGCTTTTGAGGGGTGTATGGAAAGTATAAGGGTTATGGAATTTTGTATGGATTTTCGCATGGAGTTTTGCATAGGGAATTTAATTAGAGAATCTTATTCGGAAGGATCATTTGGGAATTTCAATAGAGAGGATATTTTACCAAACAATCTTCTCATCATCAATACTGTTGAAAGTCGTCAGTACAGTAGTGAATCTGGCTGACTAAGTATGGTTGCTTATTCCTAGAGCTAGCTCTCCTCTCTTCTTCAATCCTTCAATTCAACAACTCAATATCAAGAGATTAAAAGAGCCACAACGAACTGTTCCCTAGGTGCATTATAACTTTCAACAATCAATACAATACTTGATTCTTTCTTCTTATATTCGTTTCTTTGTAATCAAAAGGGTATAAACAGGACTCCGATTGTGTACTTAGAATCTACAAGTGAAGAACTATGTAGGGTGCTAAAAGGAGGACTTATATATACAGGTATTTGGGAGCCATAAGGGCTAGGCTCAAAAGAGTGAAAGAGTCCTAGACGTAAGATACCTAGGTCTAAAGCTATAGAGCTAAGGCTCTAAGCTGTGGAAAGATCCAAAAGAGCCGTCTTATTATGCTACGTATGTAGTATGAGCCAGTGGACGGAAGAGAGCAGTCTGTTCCGTCACAATATCTTTATCAATGTCACGGGTTCACTCCCCGTGACCACCTACACCTACCTGCACCTATCTGCACCTGTCACGTGTCCACTACCCATTCCTAGTTAGCGTGGTGCACAACCCACCATATAGTCGTTGCTCCCCAGCAACCAAGCTTACACTCTTCGTAGAATATCATCATATTCAACCCAAACCTAGCACCTGTACCAACCCCGTGATAATCAAAATATCTTCAACATAGAAAATCTCTTCGAATTGATTGAATTATTGATTATCAGAATTATTTCAATCATTTTTGAATACTGAAATTATCACGGGGCTGGTACGGGTGCTACTAGGAGCTGAATAAGATGTATGATATTCGACGAGGAGAGAAGGAGGCGCGCGGAGCGACGCCGACTATATGGTTGGTTGGATGCCTAAGGCATCTATCCGAGCTAACTAAGAATGGGTAATGGGCACGTGACAAGTGTAGGTAGGTACAGGTAGTCACAAGTAGTGAGCCCGTGACAGAAATAGTTTATTTATGATCGAAAAAGTTACTTTCAAGTTGAAATTAAGATGAAAAATCATCAGAGGTCAAAATCGCGACTTTTTTTCTTGACACACGTTATTAAACTGGGTGTAATAATTCTTCAAAGTTTCGAATATTCATTCGAAAAACTAATGATACTGCACAGATTCAAAATATCGATTTTGAGTTGATTTTGTGATAATTTGTTAGAGTTTTTGATACGCAAAAATAAGCGAATTTACCCCTTTAAAATATACGGCAATTTACTCTCATGCCACCAGAAGTGATCCACCCTCCCATCATATCTTCCCTCCCACCATATCCACTCTCCCACCATAGATTCTACCATAGATTCTACCATTTTGGTTATCTCTCTTCATCTCAACTGTGAAGTTGTTGTTTATTATATGCTGTCTGTATCCCATGTCTCGTAGTATCTGGGTTAAGCATTGTCCATGCTTGGCTGCGATATATTGTGCTATGTATTCTGATTCGGTAGTCGACGTTCAGACGGAGTTTTGCTTTCTTCTATCGACTACGGTTGCTTGCATAGTCTGCATCAGAGTACATTACCAAGTTTCTTACTTCCCCTAGTCCGAAACGCAGCCTACACTCGATGGTTGTTCGTAGATACTGCATAACTTTTCATAGTTTGTGCATATGGATTTTCACAGGGTCCTTTATATATTGGCTAAACATTCTTAAGCTAAATACTATATCAAGTCTTGAGGACATCATTGTATACATTAATAGTTCCTTGATTATATTATTATTGTTAGAACGCATACTACTGTACCCTGTACCACGTGCCGTACCCTAGCATTTTGCCCTCGCTAGTACTGACGCTAGCCTTAGCGCATACACTAGCTAGCTTATCATTACAACAGTAATGTAGAGGATATACAATAATAGACTATACAGTTACACTTCCAACAACGTTAATAGTTCCTTGATTATATTATTATATCTAATAGGATCCACTCGTTTGTCATTCTCTTTCGCTGGTCGAAATGAGTTGTATTCTTCCATTGGCGTGAAGATGGGTCTGGATGTTTCTTTTGTGAATCCATATCTACTTAGAACTTTCTCTAAAAAATTTTCCTGATCGATATAATTTATAAATGATTCGGTTCTTTCTATTTCTTGTGATTCTTATGTTAAGAAGCTTTGAGTTCTCAATCTGCCCTAGGTTCTTAACTTTGAAAATGGAAATGAGTTGCTTGCTGAACCACATTATATCATCAAGATTACTAGCGGCTACTGGAAGGTTGTTAATATATAAGAGTATTACAATACCGCGTTCTGTATGTGCAAATAAACAAGGGTCCACAGAGCTCTAGGCCAAACCCCATCTAATCAGGTTTTTCTTTATCAAATTGTTCCAATCTTGTATAGTTTGCTTCAAACCGTAAAAGCTTCGAAGGACTTCTAGAATATGTTCTGGTTTGATATGAAACGAAAATATTCTCCTTCAGCTCCGCCTCAGTGAATGTGTTCTTGATATCAAAACAGTATGCTTCGAGACCCTGCAATACTACTACGGATAGGAATGATTTTACTGTTGCTGATTGTAACTTAGATGCGAATGTATCGAAAAAGTCAACACCGAACCTTTGTGTGAATCCTCTCGTCACAAGTCTTGCCTGGAACCGGTCCAACGAGCCGTCAAAGTTAAGCTTGGTGGTAAATACCCACTTTGTACTAACAAAATTGTTGGTACCGTCTTTAATGTCTTGTTCTTCTCGAGTTCTTCGATTCCCCTATCTATCGCGGCTTGCCGAATACCATATACTGGATCAATTATAGTTTCCTCATATAAGTCAACTACCCTACTTTCGGGCCACCCTTTCACACCAAAAACAGTGATTTTTGATTTTTATAACTTTTTATTCAATCGATATAATTGAATGAAATTTTAATTATAGATTCTTTATATAGTTATTAGATCAGGTACAGATTTTCAGAATTTTAGTGATTTTATATAAAAAGTCATAAAGATTTAAAATTCGAATTTTATTTTGTATACGATTTGTATACAAATTAAAATATCTAATAACTTTTTAATATAAATAATTAAAAATAATTGTGACCAAAAGGGTATAAACAGGACTCCGATTGTGTACTTAGAATCTACAAGTGAAGAGCTATGTAGGGTGCTAAAAGGAGGACAATATATACAGGTACTGGGAGCCATAAGGGCTAGGCCCAAAAGGGTGAAAGAGTCCTAGAGATAGGCATTGTACGATGCCTAGGTCTAGAGCTGTAGAGCTAGAGCTCTAAGCTGTGAAAGGAAGGTCCAAAAGAGCCGTCATATCATACTATGTATGTAGTATAAGCCAGTGGGCGGAAAAGAGCCGTCTGTTCCATCACATTACTCCCCCCTTCGAAAAAGCATGACCTCACGCGTCCTTTCATAGGCAAATCGCCTGTGATCTCATTATAGTTGTCAACTCCGTTATCATGGTTTTCCATCCATGCTGTAAAGGCAACAGGTGGTCCTACTTGGCTAAAATAACTAAAATGATAAGCTTGAAGTTTGTGAGGGGAATATTTAAAATTATCTGCTCTGTACCGTGTGATATCCAAAGGGTGGTCTAACCAGAAGACCTGGTAGAAAACGTTTTTGTATTGCAACTTTGAAACTAATACTTTCTCTACTTCCTATTCCTCTTCGCTAATAATATTCACAAGATATGGCAAAAAGTTAATTTGTTCTGGGAGTAGGTTTTCCGATACAAAGCAGAGTTTTTCGGAAGGAAACATATCGAATATATGCATTGTTACCGGGAGTGCAAGTCGGTACAACTATCCAATTTTCTCTACAATCTCGTACTTACCAGTGATGGAGAAATCGAGCTTGCAGGAGGACCGCTGAGTTTTGTAGTATCGAGAGTCCAACCACACTATATCATCTACTTTGAAGTCAGGTTCACAGCAGTGTTTGTTGTGTTATTGGGCCATTCGATCTTGAGCGTGTTGGATTTGATTGCAGGCAAATTCCCATACACCATGTGCACAAATAACGAATTCACAGACTTCCTGAATATTGATTTTGTCGAGGGGATCAGAATTGTATTCTTTCCAGTCCCATTCGATACGAGGAGGGTATCCATAAAGAACCTCGAAAGAAGTCATTTGATCCAAAGAATCGTAGAGCAACATCAATTGTGTGTAATCTATAAATAATAGAAAACATGACCAATCATCTTAATAGTAGCTGACATAAGGGCGTAAGCGTCGCTATAGATACTGGTTGTATATCTCCGTTTGACTGTCGGTTTGAGAGTGATCTGTAAAAGAATGCACCAGGGTGATACCAAGTATGGTCAAGAGCTCTTTCCAGAACCTATTAACGAATTGCGTGTCTCGATCTGAGAGTATAGAGGTAGAAGGACCGTAGTAGCAATAAATGTGATATATGAATAGTTCGGCAAACTCTTTTTCATCACATTCCTTAGTACAGGGAATGGAAATGGCTTGTTTGGTGAGTCTGTCGATAATGACTGAGATATTGTCATATCCATATTTATCTTTGTTAAAGTTACAGAAGTTCATGGTGATATATTGTTAGGGGTGTTACAGTATGCTAAAAGGTTTCAAGAGTCCTGGTTTCTTGTCACAAGAAACCTTGGAACAGCGGTATATCTCACAATTACGAATGTAGTAGACAACATTATCTCTTAATCCTCTCCAGTAATAGTGGTTTGAAAACATTTTCGAGGTTTTCATAGTACTTGGGTATACAGAGAGGGGTTGTGTGTGTACATCTCTGATAAGGAGTGTACGGAGGTTTTTCACACTTGGAATCACTAATTTCTAATTGTAAAGCAAAAGATCATCTATCATAGTATATAGGGATTTCTTGTCTTCATCTGAAAAGGCCTTCAAGGCCTCTTTGCATAAAGCATGGAGGGTCTCGGAGATCTTATTGAGATGTAGTATACGATCTATTGTCTTGATGAATGGTTTGACGTGTTCAAGAGCAACAATATCGGGGGATTCCAGGAGTATTCGGATACGGGGATCAAACTGATCTTGTATGAATAGTAGTAGTATACGTTGTTCTTTCTTTTGTTTATTTGTGACTTCTATGTTGTCGTCTTTGCAAGAGAGAGCATCAGCTAGAGGGTTCTCTTTGCCAGGACGATATATAATGAGGAAGTTGAAGTCGGCAAGAAATTCGGCAACGCGGGCTTGTCTATTATTAAGCTGTTTGGAGGTTATAAAGTACTCCAATGCTTTGTGATTAATGAATATCTTCACATTAAAGCGTGATCCTATCAGTTCGGATCTCCAATGACCAAAGGCCTTGACTATAGCAGTCAGTTCTTTGTTATAAACAGGGTAATTGAGTTCGGCGGGAAGTATAGTCTTCGAGAAGTATGTTATAAGCAACTACTGTTTTCTATACTTTTGTGACAATACAGTGGCAATAACGCTATCAGAGGTATCTGTTTCAAGCATGCTTTCCAAATTGTAGTCATAGTACTGTAGCAGGGGAGCAGAGGTAAGTTGCTCTCGTAGGGTATCGAAAGAATTCATGCATTCCTTCGTGAAAGAAAAGGGGACATTGGCTCGAGTGAGGTTCACTAGAGCAGAGGCAATGACACTGTAGCTAGATATAAATCGTCGATAGAAATTGCAAAAACCAAGGAAGGATTGTATTCCTTTCAGGGTAGCTGGGTATTGCCAGTTATGTATAACCGCCACTTTGTCGGGATCAACTTCTACACCACTGGTGGAGATGATGAATCCTAAGTACTTGGTGTGGGTAACGTCAAATTCGGATTTCTTGAGATCTACCTGTAGGCCGGCAGCGCGCAGGCGTGTGAGGACCTTCTGTACGTGTTAGTCGTGGTCTTCGACGTTCTCAGAGTAAATGAGGATGTCGTCGAGATATGCGGTACAGAAGTCGTCTAAATAGTCGAACAATATATCGTTCATATAGCGCTGGTAGGTAGCTGGGCCGTTGGTCAGGCCAAAGGGTAAGACTTTACATTTGTAGGATCCATATCGTGTACGAAAAGTAGTATACTCTTCAGATTGGGGATCCATACGAATACGATGGAATGCTTGACGAATATCAAGTTTCGTATAAATCTTAGCACCTTGGAGACGTGCGAGGGTCTCGTCGATCAGGGGGAGAGGGTAGCGATCCTTGCGTATCAGGGCAATGAGTTTGCGATAGTCAATACACAATCGTAGGCTACCATCTGCTTTTTTGACAAACAGAATAGGGGCGGCGAATGGTGCTTGACTAGGTTCAATGAATCCTTTTGCCAGATTGTCAGTCAGATAGGTCTTGACTGCCTCAAGCTCGTCGATAGACATCTTATAGAGAGGTGAGTAGCCTAAGCTAGTCTTGGTTGAGTTCTCGAAAGTGATGGTATGATCGTAAGTGCGATGAGGAGGCAAAATGTTCGATTCCTGCTTGCTGAAGACGTCGTGAAAGGAGGTATACTTATCAGAAACAAGAGGCTCTCCTGGAGTAAGTGTAGCCAATAACTTTAAGGCAGATTCGTTGAGATTCCGGTTAGTTCTTGCAAAAACCTTTTCAATAATGGATATCTCAACTTCTCTGTCTTGTTCCAAGAGTCTTTGATCAAGCAATGAATTTACTTCCTGAAAAGTGCGGGTGAACAGTTCGTTCTCTGGGGACCTGGTACAGGCAATTTCGAAGGCGTGAACTGAGATTTCGTGGATGTCTAATGATTTCACTGTAGATGGGAATCGTGAATTTGGCGAAATCGGACATTTTCTTCGAATTGTAGGTGTCGGAGAACTCGAGGAGGGTTCTCTGAGGTCTTTTGACATTCGGGTAAGGTCATAGCCCAGGGATTTATCAAAGGTTCTCCTGTTTAAAGGTACTTTTGCACAAGGGAGGTCGGAGATCGAGATCAAGGAGATGATTCTGATCTTCTTGATCTGTGCACTGGCTAATGAGGTATCGGCTAGCCTGGTGGCGCCAAGGCTAGAAGCGATCTGATTGGTCAGGGCGATGACAAGAGACTCTCTCAAGAGGAAGACCTTGGAGGCGTTTTCACCATCGATTGCTGTATCTCGTCGAATAGCATCTTGCTGATGTTTTCTGTTGATGGTATCGCGAAGATGTATAGTCTGAGGATCGATGTAAAAGTACTTGGCATAAGATGCCGTAGGAGGATAGTCTGCACACCACTGAAGTTGTTGGCGACGACAGTCTAAGCCAATATCATGAATATCTAGCCATTAGCAGCCTAGAATGATGGGATGATGCCCCAAGGGGAGCACCAGGAAAGGAGTGTTACGCTGAATGCGTTTATCGATTATTAAAGTAAAGTAAGTAACATAAGAAACGTGTGAACCGACAATGCCACTATACCCTTTGATAGGTATAGGAGTCGGTAGCTTTCGTGTGACTGGTTTTGTACGGTAGTCAAGATGCTTTACCAGGTTCTGGTCAATTAAAGCATAACCGTTGGCTCCGGAATCTATTAAACCTTGTGTTTTGAGTGCGATGCCATCCCTTATCAGAGTGATTGGAAAAGAGAGATGGCGGCTACTTATGAGGATGCGCAAGTCAAGGTATGACATATCCTGTATTTGCCCCATAAGAGAGACGGTACTTATGGAGTATCCTTTTTTGAACGAGGTAGAAAATCCTTGGTCTGGTTAATTTGGTCGATTTGGTCAATTTGGTCAATTTCTTGACCACCATATTCGTTATCGAACTCTTCAATATCCAACTCGGGATTCATCTCGTCGTCAATTTCATTGATGACAGCAGAGGTACGAGGTGTGTATTGAGGAGTGGCTTGTCTGAAACCAGAGGAAGGAGTAGGAGGGGGTCCACTTGAAAAGTGTCGTGGAGTGAGGACAGGTGCGGCAGAGGGCGAGCGGTAAGGCATGCCAGAGGGTGCCGCAGGTCTGTTGTATACTCCAGGGGTACTGCTACGAGGTGTTGCAGCACTGGAAGTGGAAGGTGATTGGGTAGGGCGAGTGCCCTGAAGAGAGTGGTGAGGACGGAGAGCATGGGTTGCAGCAAGTCGTTGATAGGCGACATCGAGGTTGCCTAGGACTTCGGCATATTCACCAACTGTGGTGGAACGTGCGAACTCGTGGCCAGAAGTACTTGTCAAGCGGTATGCTGCCTTGTCGAATAGGTCATTACAGAAACGTTTATTATCAAGGATCTCTGCCTGAGCAGCAAAATCACGAAACTTGGAATAGAAATCGAAAAACCTTTCCCTGGGTAACATAACAAGAGAGTTATATTTGATTTTGGCTATTCGAATTGCAGAGGGGTCTAGCATAACAGAAACTACTTGCTGAATGAGGTCATAAACATTGTATTTATTGTCCAAGTAGAGAGGTTCCAGGGTACTACATAACCATCCTTCGGTTTGATTGTAAATCCATGTACAACAATGATCATTAGATAGAAAGTGAGCGTGGTAGTTCCGTAGAGTATGTGTGACCATCTTGTCCCATGCTTGCACCCGGAAACCAGGAGCTTGGCTATCTGAAAGTTTCATGACCAGGTCAGGGACTCGGAGTTGTCGAAAAGAGGAGTGCAAGGCAGAGGTAGCTTTGTGAGCTTTCTCACAACGGATATTCGTTCCTGTATCTGGTGTAAATGTGAAACTAACAGTACGATAAGATCGTGCAGGAATGGAAGTAGAGCGATGTGATCCTTGATTTTCGACAGAGGGGACAGGCTCATCCTCAGAGAGGGTATCATCACGGTGGGTATAACGTGATGTGGAGGGGCCAGGGACTTGAATAATATAACCGAGGGGAGAACGGGAAGTGTGGGTCAGTGGGGCTTGCTTACCAGATACTCCACTCCCACCATAAGTGAGGGTGGACGGAATATCTTTTTCCACTAGTTTAGTCTGTACTTCCTTTAATCTTCGTTCCATCTCATGCAAGACCTGTATTAGATGGATATTATCGGCTCAGCTCTCTGCAAGTGCGGAGGATTCCGAAGTAGGGGAAGTAGGTAAAGAGGGGTAAGACCCTGGTTGTTTCCCGGGGTTCACTGTAATGGTTTCCTGTGCCTCTTCCATTGAAGGAGAAGTATAGAGATTGTTATTATCTAGTGAACTAGGAAGAGGAGGTGGGGAACAACGAAAGGCACCAGGAGCTCTTGGAAAGTCAAGAGGAGTGCTAATGGTGCCATGCTTGTGGCTGGGGGAATCACACTGATTTCTGCTATTGCTAGAACCAGGAGTGACACCTTAACCTTTCTTTTTTGGAGGAACCATCGCATCGTCAATTTATTGACGGAAATCTGAGGTCATCGACTGATGCGAATTCTTCACTTCTAGATAGTGTCGATGCAGTCGGCATTAATTTTGAGAGGGAGATTTGGAGAGATTTAACGATTATCCCTAGTTGTAGCTGTGAGTATTGACTTGTAGATAATATGACTGAAAGGGTATAAACAGGACTCCGATTGTGTACTTAGAATCTACAAATGAAGAGCTATGTAGGGTACTAAAACGAGGACTATATATACAGGTACTGGGAGCCATAAGGGCACCTGAGGAGGGTAAATCGGCCATTTTTGACAAGCGTCCTTTTTAGCGTGTTTATTGAGATTCAACGCTTGTATTGAGATTTGAAGCTAAAATGGCCTCCGATATCGATCACCACCCTCTCCCGGGCCTTTCAATTGCCACCCCCTCACTCCCTAGCTTTCATCTCCTAGCCTTTACCTCCCTAGCCTCCCTGGTCTCCCTGGCCCTCTCCTCTCTCGTCGTCGCCAACTCTTTATATATATAAACAATTGAAACCATTCAAATTTATTAAATATTGAAAACTTTTATTCTACCTTATTGAATATTCAAATATTAAAACCATGCTAACTTACTGAATATTGAAGCATTGAAAACATTCATTTTGACTTACTGAATATTGAAGTATTGAAAGCATTCAAGTTGATTTGAATGAAAAGTTGCAAAGGAATATGAAAGATTTCGGTAGATATGAATGAATTTGAAATCATCGATTTAGAGTGAAAAAAATGAAGCTATATCGAACTAATTCATATTAGGCCTAGACTATATATTCAGATCTCGATATAAGATCTCAATACATTTCATTTCACTTCAATACATGATTTATTACGATAATAACCCACTGGTGGGTTAATTACCCTCCTGAGGTGCCCGTAGGGGTCTAAGTAGGCGTAACTATGCAAAATTATAAATACACTCAATCTATTTGCCAGGCCTGCTCATAGTTGTCCCCCATGGCTTGTTTATTTTCAGTAAACTTGGAGTCAATAACCTTTCTTTCCAGTGCCCCAGTAATCCCCTTCCGAACATGGTTTCGTTGTCGAATCGTATTCTCTCGTTCATTATTCTCGATATAGTATAGCCAAGAAAAGGTCTCCTTGTTCTTATTCCCCATGGTTCCAGCAGTCCAATTGCAATTGCTTCACTAAATGTCAATCCAGTACCAAAGACTGACGATACGGCTATCATATATCTTGGCTGGTAGGTATTTTTGGCGGATTCTGGAAAAATACCGTGAAACTGTTCAAACTTCATATTGATCTCCTTTTCCTTAAGGAGTTTATGTACGAAAACGATCATGGATCATCCACTAATATTGGTGAGTATTTATTGCATTGTTGATATAAAGAAGAAAATACATACCAGATATAAAATCCAAGCACCAATAAAATTTTTTGAGGCAAATATCAAGCGAGCAGGTTTTCCCTCGCCATCAATATGACTCTTGAATTGATCTATATGGGCTTTTAGCCTCCTTAGCTTCCCTGATGATGCAGCTATCTCGTGGATATACTTGAAGCATGGATCGGTTGTATCATTCCAAGCTACTACATCTTCTGCCACATTATCTTCTTTGAGTTTGTGACGTTCACTCCATTCCTTTTCGGTAAACCGTAATGGCGGATTTTCTCCTTCAAGTTGGCTAATATCCATTAAGAAAGGGAAACTTGCAAATACACGGGAACGATAATATGCATGAGTATGTTCACGCTTGAGAGGGACGTAGTCATTAGCCTTTAATTCCCGTCTCATATGGATTGCGTAACGCGTTTTTTCCTTTTGTTCGTATTCAGCATTCTCCTCCTCACGCTGTTTCAAAAGTCTATCGCTCCACTTTGTATTGTGATTGCATACAACCTCGAGATACCGATTCGGAGGCAATAAGACAACAGGTCCTGCTCCAAGGAAATTCGAATCAGGGTCAAATCGGAGAGTAGTCGCCTCAATAACAGGCCGTAGTATATTGACACATTCTCGACTAGCTTCTTCATCAGCATTGCCTTGCTTAACCTTCTTATCCCATGATTTTCCAAGTTCAGTCATTTCATCATGGCAAAAGGTATTGAGCGTAGGGTGCTGCTCCCATGATTTCCGTTGCATCCGATTTAAATATGCTGCAAAGTACCACTCATAGAGTTGAAATGAATATTCTTATTTTGTGGAAGATTAAAAAGGCTGTGCTTCAATACCTGGATTGTTTTCGATGTAGGCAATTTCTCTGCATGTGCCTCATCTCTCCATAGTGATGAGACAACTAATGGAATGGATGGAAAATGATCATATACAACTTTCGGTTTTGTTGTATATATTGATCCATCTGATCTTGTTGCGAGGCTTCCTTCTGAATGATATGGAACCGATATTATCCTCTCAAACTTCTCAATCAACTGTTGTTGCAAAGAGTGCGATGTTGTTACACAAACTATGCGGCTATTTCTGATATTCGGTTTGCAGATAGGATGAGGATGACGGTCATCGGCTTCTCCAAGTTCTATATCTGCGAGCATAAGTTTGCGATTTGCTATCGAGATGTTCTCTTCAGCCTTGAAATTCCTGTGGGCAATAACCAGTTGCATACCGAATGGATTCTCTTTTTCGTAACATGAATTCCATTCATTTTGCCAGTTTGTTAATAAGCCCAGAGGTGCAATAATGATATGAATCCCGAGTGATGGTTTAATTTTCGATATAGGATGAGATTTTGTACATGGACAATCGAGACCATATTGTTTGCGTACCTGATCATTCGATGGGCATATACGATTGTCTTGAATGATGCGATGGCTCGAAAGATGTTTTTGAGGCTCCCGAGATATGTCATCGTACATGCAATTGATCAAATGCTGGATATGGCAGGTAGCGAGTGTGATTGTTGATTTTCCTAATCCCATAGCATGAGCATGAAATGTGGAGTGAACATTAGAGTTCCACATCATTAATGTTCGCACAACTGCATGTGCTTGGCAAGGTAGTAGCCGACGTGCCATTCCAGCAATCTTAACACAAAATTTAGATTCAATCATCTCTTTAGGATGGCCGAGGATAGTACATGTCTCGGACCATTTATTCTCGTCCAGTTGTTCGCACACATTACTCTCAAGTTGCGCTTGCATCCTTCAACAAGATTAGTATACTAAACTGCTATATTTTCCGACTAATAGAATGAAATTTCTTTCTGAAAAAGAAAATATAAATATATAACAAGTAATAAACTAACCTTTGAGTTATTATATCAACCTCATTCTCCTTCCATCTCCTTAAACGAATCTCAAATTCATCATCTGCTTCCTCCTTCTCCTGCCCCGGCCTTTCATTGTTATTCTTTTCGAAAACATACAGTTTAGCGAAATCAATTGTCTCGCCAGTAGGAAACCCCTGGTCGCTACTACTACTTGGCGCATCGACATCTGGTCTATTTTTTGTAGACTCAGCCGAATCTCCTGAATCTTTCAATGATTGAGGAGTAAAGAATATATCAGGAGTATTACTGTCAATCTCCCTTTCCTTTCCCTTTTCACGTCTGCGCTGATTGCGAACAGGGCTGGGGCTAGCAGAGCTTAAAGGCCTACTGTGTTTTCGGGCTCTTTGAGGTAATAAGGAGCGTATAGGGCCTGAATCCGGCTCAGATGGTTCTAGATCGTTTGTGTCTAACACTAACTCTGAATCGGATTGTTTTGAGCGTCCATCATCCAAGTTCGGCTCGGTGTTATCCAAATTTGGGGATATAGCATGCGTGTTTGATCGCCTCGTTCTATCAGTATCAATATCTGAATTCAATAACTCCTTTACAGAACTCTCAACTTGATCTTCTTCAAGGGAACCCAAACGTGTTGATGCTAAAGACTTCGGTCGTACCTCAAAATTTATTATCGATAGATTAGCATTCAGAACGTTCTGAACCAAGAACCGAAAGTCGTTTGGATACTCAATTGGTACAGCCTCAACTTTCGAGTTATCTTTAGACTGGGAATCAATATTATCATTGATGTCTGGTGGGTATGCGAAGAGATTATCAGTCTCTGGATTGAAGTGAAGTCGGCTCTCGTTAAAGTTTTTAACAAGTTCGATAAATAGCTGAAAATCGAAATCCTTCCCTTGTAGAAGGGCTAGTGGCTTTTGTGCAGAATCCTCGTGAACAAATGTGAGAAGATGATCATTGTGTGTTCTGCGTGGGTCATTGAGATAATGTATATTTACTGTAATCTCATTCGCTGTAACTTTGCTGTTGGTATCAGTTGCAGTCTCAACCTTGACACACGGGATAGATTGTGATGATTGAGAAACATGTATAGTTGAGGGCCCAGGCCTGGGGCTTGGCGATGCGGATTTGCCTGTTACTGGATTCGAGCCAGCTGGCTGTCGAACGCCTTGTCGAACGCCTTGTCGAGAAACATGATTCTTCGCCTGGCGAATAATAGCTTTCAAGGCATTATCAACCCATCCATGATATATTGCATCGATAGCATCAAACTCTGTTACAAACTCGCTAGTGAGCGTTTGGCGAAGATGTATTGTAAGGCGTAAACTCAATGCAACATCGTTTCTAAGGTCAACAACACCAGACTTGATACGCTCAAACAGATCGAATTCCGGTTTAGCAAATATTTCTTTACAAACAGAATACCAACTAATGAGCTGTTTGGAGGTTATACCCAAACCAATTTCACAAGCAGTCGCATTGAAATTGCCATTTTTGGTAGGACCATTTGGATAACCTTGATAGAATTGTAAGGATTGAGGCATATTTCTGATATTAGGATATTGCTAATAGTAGTTTTGCTAAAGCTTTAGAAGAAATCAACTTCCTTTAAATAAAATGAAGCAAACATCACCAGAAAAGTTTCGTTTGTATAATACACGAGCTTTGACTTCGGCCCCTCGGTGCCGGAAAAACAATTCGCCTCGCTGCGCTCTTCGAATTGTTTTTCAGGGCACCTCGATTCCTACGTCGCAGCTCGTTCTCCGGAGGCTTGTTAACCTCATAATAATAAATATTGAATGATATTTTTGAATATCATGTTTTCAGATTTCATTTTATCGATTAGTATGAGAAGTGTATTAATATTGAAGATTGAATGTGGTATTGCACGTGAATTTTCAAAAAAATGTTCGTTGTTGTGCACTGACCATGTGCGTTTTTTCAGTGTTTTAAAATATGAAAGGTTAGAAGATTAGATGGATTGTTTACAATTAGCAAAAGAAATAATACAGGGTGATTGCTTAGGTAAGAGTCGAATTTTACAATATAATTCATTCCAAGTAAGCTATTAATGCAACTTTAAGCACGCTGTTTATAATCCATTGTTTTGATTGTTCTTATTGCTCATTTCCTGTCAAATCTATCCGTGGTTTAACACATCATCAACAAAAGTGCGCTATCAAAAAACGTGGAGCATCGAGTACAATACCACCAAAACACATACACCAGCTGTACATACTGGTGATGATACGGTGGAATACGATTCTGTATCTGCATACATCGGCGAGAACACAGATACTACAGATATATGTATCTGCCAGTGGAAGTCTGGCCCTGAGCGAGGAAAGTGCTAAGGGTGGAGTATTCGATTGGCTCGCTGAAAACTACGATGATACACCCGACACAGGTAACCCACTTCATAGGTTTTTGATTACTAGCATGATTTCATCTGATAAGTGAACGATTAGATGATTACGGATACGGCTCAGGATCACCAAGCCATTCCATATGCCGATCCCCAAGCTAGCGACGCGATTTCCGAATGGAGATACATTTGCATTGCAGTTGTGCAGTGTGCAGTGAATGGATGGAGACCCCACTCGAAATCAGCTCTGATAGCACAGATTTGTCTATTCCCACACAAAGCTCATTCATCGAAATGTGGTAGATTGTATTCGCTTTATTCTTGGACACCGGCCATTTGCTACAGGACTAGCATGGGCACCAATTCGCCAATACAACGGACTGGGAAAGCGGATTTACAATGAGATGCATACCGGTACTGGTGATTGGTGGTGGGAGATACAATGAAGCTGCCTGACGATGCAACGGTTGTGCCGATCATTCTTGCATCAGACAAAACAGCAATGACGAAACTTCAAAGGGATCTGGTTGCATGGCCAGTATATATGACTGTTGGCAATCTCAGTCGTGAGATTCGGAGAAAGCAGAAAATTCCGGGCGTGTTGCTCATCGGCTTTATCCCAGTTATCAGGGGCTTGAGCAAGGCGATTAATCCGGAGGTATCTAGAACAATCAAAGCACAACTGTATCATACTTGCTTGGAAATAATACTATCAAGGACTTGGACTCAATTGTGGTTGGAGATTTCAATATTAGATGTAAGGAGATTGAGGCATACGAACATCAGGTTATACCGAAGACGGAGGACGATGATGAATGGGTGATTGATACCGATGAATTCTACTCAAGTTACACTAGTATGATGATACCAGAGTTGCGGGCATTGTTCAAGTCTAGAGGCTTGAAAGGGATCTCCAAAATGAAGAAGAAAGGAGATTTTGTTACTGCATTAATGCATGATGATAATGATATTGCAGTTAGCCAGAGTCAGGGTCAGAGTCAGAGTCAAACGGAGTTGGCGCTTGTTATTGATTAAGATACGATGCACTAAAGTTTAAATATCAAATATAAATAGGTAAGCCGAACATCGAATTTTGCCTCTGATCCCTCTCGTATCTCCTCACTCTCTCTCTCCTTCATCGAACAACCTTCAACGCTTATACGCTTTCCATCAGACCTCCAAGGGTCCAACATTCCACCCTTCCGCAATCCTATCCACACCCAAAGAAAAACAAAGGAAGCCTTCATTATTCAATCTCCTATCGAACCTTCTCTTTTGTTGTCATCCATTTCTCCGTTTCATCACCCTATCTTCCTTTCCTCCCCCATCAAATCGAATGTGCTGGGGTCTGGGCAACTGGTCCCCTAACCCACCACAGTAGAGTCTACTCTCGCAAAGTCAAATCAATTATATGCAACAAAAGCAGTATAACCAAGAGAGACGACAACCGAGACTCCTGCGAGAGAGGCTCTCTCGGGGGTGGGGAATCTGCGTGTGATGAAGATGAATCCGGGGCTAGGTAACAGGATATACAATCTTCTGGGTCCTCGGATTCCGTAAGAGAATTTTCGGGGGTTTGATGTAACAGATTTGTAATTGCATCAAAGCTTGAAGCGTCAACACCGAAGACAACTTGGGAGTATGTAGATGAGGTGGATGATGCATCCGGCAAATTGCTGCTGGGGGGTGCTGCTGGTGCTCGAATAGGGCTGTCTTGTGGGAATTGTCTATTATTGTTACTGGAGTATTTGGTTGTCGTCATGATGCTGTTTGATTGGTGGTATGGGGGGCATGAAGATATCTCGCTGTTTTGAATCGTGATGCTAGGAGATTTACTTGTAGAAGTATAGGTATATATATTAGGGTGATCAACTACGATTCAGAGAAAGTCTCAAAGTAAAACAAAATCAGGTAGTATTTCGTGTAAATGTTTTTTTTCCATCATCTCTAGACACTACACAAAGAGGGCGTAAATGCCACAGTTTGATATGAGGTAAGGGGCAATAAACCTTGGACTTCAAGAAATGCAACTTTGATGCGAAGATGAATGGTTCTACTCGGTGGGGTTTTAAAAGAAGCATACCAACTCAGAAATCCCTTGATAAATTTCATTCTAAATGTCAATAACTTCTGGAATGAATTTGTTAAAAATATTCGGAATAAACTTACTTAGTTGGTTTCGGAATACCTACCTAGTCTTATTATTTTTATATACGGAAAGTATATTTCGAAATAAGCCAAGCTCACTCTGAAATCCAGCTTATCAATGGCTAATGAACCAGGCAGGGTATTGGGCTATGAACTAGCTCATTTCAAAATGTACTACTCATGCCGCCAAAAAGTCCGCAATTCGGGTAAGCTAGCACGTGCCACACAGTGAGTGGTGAACTACAGCAGGAATAGCCTAGTCTTTGACTTCCCAATGGCCCGGAACTAGGATGGGATTTTTGTAATTGATTGCCTAGCTTAGCGTACTTTTAGCTCGAAAGGCGGCATATCTTCAGGCCCGTCTTTCATTATTCCACAATGAATCCACATCCTTTTCTTCCTAAACCCACCCGCTTTTCTGACACCTCACACAAGCCTCTTCCTTGTATCGTACAGTTTCCTAAATTCCCATCCACCACATATTTCAGTACCTCAAAAGCAGTAAATATGACAACACCAAGAGGAATACAAAAAAGCCTTTTTGGCACGCGAACAAGCCGAAGGTGCAGGAGCAAGAGTTCAGTTCGTCGTTTAATTGGTAAACCTCAATTGAAGAGCTTCTCACCATTTTTCATGCTTGATCATTTTACCATCAAGCCCGGTGCCGGCTTTCCAGATCATCCACATAAAGGACAAGAAACGTAAGTTGACCATCTCATATCCCACAGATCGAACAACAGCTAACGCAGCCCCCGATCAGTACAACATACCTCCTCGAAGGCGCCGTCGACCACGAAGATTTCGCAGGAAATTCAGGTACTATCGAAGCAGGAGATCTTCCAATCATGACTGCGAGCTCTGGTTGATGACCCCACAACAGACCAAGAGCAGGTGGTCCCTGGACCTGGGATGCTTCCGTTTGTCCCGCCAAAGCAACCCACAAATCAAAGCTTCGCATGATTATATGTACAGCAGAGAGACACGCCGCGGGCAGAACACAACTGGCCTCTTCTGAACCGGCAGAGGTGTCTCGCTGGCGGAAACCGACTCGGGAAGCGGGTACAAGTCGGTCTTCAAGAAAGACGACGATAGATTGAAACAGGCCAAAGGAAATAAAAAGAACAAAGTTCCATGGGCTTCCCGTCAGAGTTGTCTAATAAGAAATATGCCGGCCAAAGCGAATCCCGTGCCAGGTCGGCATCCAAAGAGGGAGAAACGCCCGGCGACGCATTCTCTCCCGAGAGAACCGAAACCAGAATCTCCACAAGACCGCGCCGAGTATCAGTTCAGGGTCGATATGGAGTACCAGGTAGGGGTCCTGCCTGTATGGCGGACCTCTCCAACAGCGAGCATACTAAGAGACGCTGGCCTGCCATTTGGGGTAGTCGCACTCGAGCATGCCAGAACAAGATTCGCTATGCGACTGAAGACCGTCGATGCAGGGCATTCACTAGCTACTCGGCTCGCAAGCCTCCGAGAGAGATGGCACCAGGGCACGAAACTCAAAGCATTAGATCCACTGATCCCCTGATCCCATTCGCTCCTCGACCAATACTGACACCCCCGTATTTCTCACCGGGCTGCCGTACTAATCCAACCAAAGGGGTCAAGAAGGAGCTAGCTGCTGGTGAGTTCAAGGAATGGTGGAATCTACTTCCGGAGGACCATATCACAGTCTTCTCCGATGGCTCAGAGCAATACGACCAAGGTAAGTTCGTCGGCTATGGATATGCTATCTACAAAGAACAAACACTAGTTGACTCCGGATATGGAGCTATCAATACGCTGTCCCATGTATTCGATGCAAAAGCAATCGGAGCCCTCAAGGGTTTATAGCACGCTGTTCGACTAGCAACAGACGAACGAGCCCCAATCACAATGTGTATCGATAGCACCTCAGTCATCTGGTGTATTCGCGCAAATGCAGCTGCCTCGTCACAATAGGCTTTCCTCAAGTGCCACAGAATAATGGAAACGCGGGATATTAGTATCCGCTGGTCCCCTGGCCACACTGGTATCGAAGGAAACGAACAGGCCGATCGATTAGCCGATCTCGGCGCCAAGAGTAGACAAGTATCGGAAAATAACTGTGCTCACTCCACGATCAGCAATATTGGATCGACAGTACACCTTCTAAAGCAAAACGCAACCAGTAACTGGTGACGCACTGCTAAGAACTCCCTGTCAACGACATATTCTAAATAGGAATTGGATTATTCCATCAAGGAAACTCCCGAGCTTACTCTCCCTAGAGGTATACTCCACCGACTCCTAGCGATGCGCACTGGCTATAGGGATTTTTTGTTACATTATCATTGCTTCCAATATATTGATACCGAGCTCTATTATATATATAGATATAACAAAACGCTAGACCATATACTTTTCTGTAACTACTTGATTCGAAAGGTCAGAAAATAACCCAACCGGACACCTTTCCCATCAGCTAACAAACAACAGGGGATTGACTATATCAAAAGCCTGTTCAGAAAACCGAAAGACTTTGCAGACTTTCTCAAACAAACCAGATGTTTCGAACGCCCCAATCAAGCTGAATAAAAGCATAGCAACCTGCCCTTACCTACCTGTATGTACCTACACCTACACCTACCTGCACGTACCTACCCCTACCTGCACCTACCCTCGTCACTGGACCAAACCCCATGACAACCCGACCCCTGTCCCAAAAATCACACAACTCAAACGTGCCACACCCCCTGCGGCCTGACCCTCGCCGCCGCACCTCAGGAAAAACTGTAAAACACCCCCTCGTCATAATAGATATGACTACACAAGCTTACTGTCGGTATAGTCATTTACTGTACCGGAGCACCGGCGCCGTACTAGCGAAGGGCTAGGGCAAGCACTAGTGCAAGGACCTCAATACACATATAGTCCCCATCATGTAGAATAGTAATCAACAAGCTTTTTATGGATATCAACACTGAACGCTCGTCGGGCTTTCTACCATCGTAGACCTGAAAGGTGTTCCCGTTGATGCCAACAGTTACAAAAGCTCTTTGACGACAATGAGCATGCCCTAAACGGAGTGGGCAACTCACACACAACAAGTTTATCACCAAAGCTAAGGAATGGTATCCCCTCACTCAGCATTGGAACTAAAGCTTGCATCGGAAATGCAAGAAAATTGGCTATCTCAAGGTGTTAAATGTGGATTTCTGTGTTTATGTAATTAGTACCTTATTTTAGCCCGTCCCCAGTACCCTTCGGGAGGTCGTGGGTAGGCTCCGCCTACCCCCTGGACGTTAATTTATTAAATAAATAAATAAATGGAGTACCAGGTTCGAAAGCTTCAGATTAAGGAAGAGGGGAATGCAAAGGAACAAAAGGCGTTGAACATGAAGTTGGAAGTGATTATGTTGGCAATTGGACGCTTGGACGCAAAACAAGCACGTTCCTCGACAAGATTCGGATGCAGACAACGAGGCGGGAGGGTACGACGATGGAGTGTTCAACGCCCCAGGACAACAACAGTACGCATCCGATTCCGATAAGGGATATAGCGGAAATCAACCACCACCACCACCACCGCGAACAGGAAAAACGGCGGGTGGGGGTCATCAACACAGACACGGACGTGGCAGAACTCTCCGAAAATACCAGACCCGGATCAACTTGATGATGGTAACGAAAGAGGAACTGATTTCGAGAGTCGGCGTATTGGTATAGAAGCTAAGCTTGAGGTTAACAAGGAAAACTTCCCTGACGATAGGGCGATGATGCAATACATCTTCTAAGAACTAAAGGACACGCCCAGAAGTTTTTACACCCACGCTTTGACCAAGGTCATGAACAGTTCATCAACTCTACGGAGATCTTGGACTGTCTGCAGGACATCTTCATCAATCCGGGCAAACAACGCGATACGGACGCCGAGTTCCAACAACTTCGGATGAGAACAGCGGAGGTGTACCATACGTTCCGTACGAGATTCATCACACTGGTAGGCGAGGCAGAGATCACTCGACATAAGTGGCAGTCGGCATTGTATGACAGTTAACGACTTCGTTGGAAACCCATTTGTTATCGACGTGGCGTTCCCACAAATCGTTCGCTTCGCTGAGTAATGCTGTCTTTAACATTGACAACGAAGCTCGTCGGATCTAGTTAGAAACCAACAGAGAACGCCTCGCGTATCAAGCAAGACAAGCTAAAGTTAACAGAAAATTAGAGCCCGCTCGTGGTGCAGATCGGCCGATGGGAAGCCATCCGCAGGAGGAGACCCCTATGGGTAAGAAGAGAAAGGACGAAGATATCATCTGCTATATTTGTGGGGAGAAGGGACACTGCAGCCCACAGTGTCCTAAACCAAAGCGCAAGGCAGACGTGAACGAGTTGGCGGAAGATAGTTCTGAGAAACAAAGCGTGGACGGAAGTAACGATTTCGCTGAATTGGAAAAGAGAACCTCTATGAAATGACTCCATCTTAGAGGCGATGATTAACTGCAAGGATATTGACCTCTCAGGGCTTATGGGAGGGGACCACTTCACAAAACAAATGTACGTTATTATACAATGGATTAGGTATCAACTGTGAAGCCTTGGCAGATTCTGGAGCAGGAGGTTTTTGTTTTATTGATACAACTTGTGCATATGATGTGGGCAAATACTTGGGTTTAAAGATTCAACGCTTGCCCGAAGTCTTCCGTCCGCATGGGTTCAACGGCAAGAAGGCGGATGCTATCACTGACTATATTCGCATTCATATGTTGCTCGACGGACGACGCATCCTAGGCGTCCCGTTTTTGATCACCAACCTATAAAGTAACGAGATAATACTCGGCCTTACCCCTATCGAGCATTTCAAGATAAACTTGAATGTCCCGAAGAAGAGGTTTACCTGGCCAGACGACCACCCGCCCTTGGAAAGTTGGAGCAGGGATATAATTATACACAGATCCCAGCTTGTGCCAGTCCCCGTCAACGTTGAACATCAGCGCGACGTCGATGATAGGGAGATAAATGTGAAGCGCGAAGAGATTACGACGGGCCTGTCAAAGTCTATCCTAAAGAGAGGCCAGGCTGTCTTCAAAGTGGATGAGGCCTCTGAAGCGAAGTCTGATTCATCTTCGGAGGGAGAGCGTTCAGACCCAGCTGTACCAGGGACGATGTGGGCAGAGGCATCAGCGCTGTATGTCATCCGCGCCAGCGCTCGGATTACATCGCGCGATTGGGGAGAGGGCGCCATATATTTGCATTGGACCTGAAAAGTCAGTTGGCGCGAGTGGAGCAGGAGCTAAAGGGCCTGCATATCTCAATCGAAGTGGAGGAAGAGACGGACGACAGTACAATAGAGAGCACGGTGGCTGTCGATATCGATACCATCAACGCGGTGGGAATGTATTGTGATATGTTTCAGGAAAGAACGAGATATTCTCGTTAAGCATTAACGATATTGATCGTAAAATCGAGGATCGTGAATCGGAGGCGAAGATCAAGAAGAAGTTACCATCCAAATATCGTACTGAGGCAAACGTCTTCTCGAAAAAGGAGTCACGCAATCTACCTCAACATCGGGCATACGATCATAAAATAGAACTCACGAGCCCGGAGGAAGAGCTGTCTTACAGCCCGCTGCAGCGATATACCAAAGAGGAGCTCCGCTCAATGAAACAGTATATTGTCGACAACCTAGACAAGGGATTTATCAAGACGAGCAAAGCGCCGTTTGCGGCGCCGGTCCTATTTGTGCGGAAACCGAGTGGGGTTGCGGTTTTGCATCGATTACCGGAAGCTCAACTCAATCACTCGACGAGATCAGTACCCCCTGCTACTCATCGATGAATCCATGGGCTCGTATTGGCAGAGCGAAGGTGTTCACGAAGCTGGATATTAGGGATGCTTTTTACATAATCAGGATGGATCGCACAAGCACTCGAAGGTAGAGAATCCCATATCGTTTCTTTGCACTACATCTGGAATACTTTGCAAAAAGAACGTCCCGATGTAACAGAAACACTTACCAAACCTATCTGGTACTTTGATTGAAAGGGAGAAGTCAGTATTGATAAAGAGCTATACATTAAGACCTCCGTCCTCTATCTCGAGACTAGCATTAATGGTCGAGTATATTCAAAATGGGATCCATATTACATAAAGCCCCTCAATAGGTTTTCGAATACAGGAATCATTCCACCTTTGTCCCTCGAACAAGTTGAAGCTGCTCAGGTTTTGGAAGATATTTGTCATTGATTGAGGTTACATATGATCCTTGATATTGGCGATATCCAATTCTTGAGTAACGACAAACATGTGCTTCATACTCATACCGAATATAAAGATCATACACCACCAGAGATTGTGGTTGGTAATATCAGAGATTAAAGGAGAATGGAAACTGCCTTTCCATGACTCGGTAAAGAAGAAGAGAGGTGATATTCAAGTAAGTAATCAGGCTCCTGTTGCACCACTAGATGCAGAATAAATCTTTGGGGTATCAGCGTTATTATAGATAGAATATATAGTCATCAATCAGATTTGAATGAACAGAACCACCATCTAAAGAATTCTGATTAGCTGTACTCAGATACCCAAGCCTTTGTCACATACTGTATAGAAAATAATCCTTTCGCCACCTTCATTTTCATCCCTTTCTCTCACATTACACCACAAATCTCAACACCACCCCTCCTCTCAACCTCTTTCTTCTTCTTCTTCTCCTCCACTCCCCTCTTCCTTGGCTCCGGTATCAAATCCGGCGGGCCAAACCACTATCCCCGCCCACATCAGTTTTATCAACTTCCTGCAATCCACTCATCCAATCCATTCACTTATCCTAAATCCACCACTTAAACTCAAACTCCCTCTCCCCAACACCCAACACCATCTCAATAACCCAGAAACAAAGAAAAAAGACTCACCGATCCACCCACCCTACACCCCTCCATCATATTCACCAAATTCCATCAATAAAAACCCGCATAATCATATCTTGGACACTTATTCCTCACCACCCTTATAACATTCGGTCCTGGGATTCTTAGAGCATTGGAGATGAAGATTGGACAATTGAGGAGACCGGCGTTCCAGAAGATCTGGGCGATTTGTATCCATTGGCATGGCGGCTTTTTTTGAGTCGTCTTTGTTTTTGTGGGAGTGGGCGTGGGAGTGGTGGCAGGTGTATTTGCACATTTTTGGGGATGTGGATTGCTGGATGCTGGGTGGAACTTGTGGTTTGTTATTTGTGGTAATGGAGTGGAAGCTATTGGTACTTTCTTCTGAGCTCAGAGATGTGAGCTAGGGGCGATATTGAGCAGTGTGGTTTCAAAGGAGGCATTAAGGATAGTGGGTGAATTGTTGGAGCACGAAAACAGAGCTGCATACCTCTTGCTTTCTGCGATGTTTCAAATAAGTCAACTACCCCACATATGGACCACCCCCCCTTTTGGACCACCCTAAAAAAAAGACCCCCATCTCCCAAACCCTATAGTTCAATAAATATCTAACTTCAATAAAATCACCTGTACCACCACTTTCAATTGTATCATCGCTATCTTCTGCATTAATTCCACGGTCTCCAGCCACGATTTGTGCCTCCCTAATAGCTCTAATCCCTGAAAACCTGGTATTTGGACTAGTAACAACCTTACGTCTTTTCTTAGGTACGACAGCATCCAATTGATACTCCAATTGCTTTATACGCTTCCCCGATTCCATAAGATTATAATTCTTGATATCAAAAGCTTTGATAATCTTACGAAAAAGCAAGCGTCTTGTTGGCAAATCAGGCTCTTTTTCTTGGGTCATAGTCGACGCATACAATCGAAGGTCAGATGCTTTTTGAGGGGTTTTCCATATAATAGCTGATGCCCCTATGTTCCATTGAAGCTGGGGATCATCATCAGAAGCTGGGTTAGGTGCTAGAACCTCTTGGTTACTGTTCTCGAGCAATAATCGACTCATAAGGGGTTTAGCACGGTTTTTGGGCCATAGACCCGATGCTTTCCATCCAGCTTTAATATTATGAACTATTAGAGCTTCCATTCTAGCCTTCTGGTAGCAATGTAGGAAGCTACGCTTTCCAATTGGTGTAGAATCAGAGAGAGAATTCAAATTATTGAGTGCATGTCGATATGCATTTTTCAGAGGTGAGAAGACTGATAAATCTAATGGTTGTAGGGCGTGTGAGATATGTGGTGGTAGGAATAGAAGATATATGTTGTTTTCGAAGCATCTGTACATGAAGGGCATAGTTTCATGACTTCCATAACCATTCAATATAAGTAATCGTGCATCGCCGGCCTCAGAGGGGGTAGTTTGAGGTATAAAGACCTTTTCCAACCATTCTAGCCCCGTTGCATCCGTAGTCCACCCATTATCAGTAGCAATAAAGTTCCAATCCTGATAAAGAGCAAGATCAGTGGGAAACCATTGTTGTTGAATATGTTTTCCCTTAAAATGACGAGTGGCGTGAGTGCTCGCCCTGTCGCTGAAATACACTCGATAAAAGATGTCCAAACTCTTGAACCAGGCTGTTTTTTTTTAATATTTCGACGCTGGGAGCTTCCTACTACTAGGCCATTGAGATCCTGACCCTCCATTATACCAGCCTCGTCTATATTGTATCGATTTTCAGGTTTTACATCGATAATCTCTGGTAATTCGAGTTTTTGAAACCATGGTGCGATAATATCATGTGAGGCACCCGAAACTCGGGCAGAGTCGATCCTATACTGTTTCTTGGTTCTAATCTCTGGATTACTCTCCAAAAAGTTGCGTACCCATCGCTTTCCAAGGGTAGAATCGAGTTCTTTATATCGAGGAGACGTTCCCCAATTTCTCGAATTTGCCGATGGGTAGGACTAGTACCCAAGCTCTTCTGTACTAATATCCATTCCACTAAACGTTTCTCCTGAATCGGGGCAATCTTTTGCATAGTCTGATGACTTTTTTGATGGGAGACACGGCCATTGATACGATTATAAAGTGTAGTGCGAGGAATCCCATAATCCAAAGCAGCTTTTCGCATCGAAACACCATTCACGATAGCATTTAAAGCTGCGGCAATATCGTCTTCAATATGGAGTTTTGAGATCATATAAATAATAGTATATCAAAATTTGAAATCGATTGGTTGAATGGTTGTTTAATTATGAATTTTTGAAGAGGGTAGGTTGCTTAGGCGGTGGGTTTTTAGGGTGGTCCATAAGGGGGGGTGGTCCATATGTGGGTTAGTTGACTTAGAGGGGAAACGAAAAAGTGAATTATAGAAAGAATTCAAGCTAAGATTCACATCACATTTCCTCACATGAAAACCATCAAATATATGTATATTTCATATCATCCATCGAGAAGCAACCTGGTTCTCCAATACCCTATTCCAAACTCCGCATATCCCATATATAAATATATATATATACTACAAGCCTGACCATTTATAAGATCATAGCTGTTCGGGTGCAGAATTCTCGCCACTTTCCTCTAATTGCTTCTTTCGTACCATTTGCATAAACTTATACATTTGCCCCAATTGTTGATCTAAACTTCTTATTAGTATCCTATTCTCATCTACTCCTTTCCCTACAAAAGACATACCACTTATCTTATCAATCTTCTCCTTATTTATGTATTCCCCAATCCAACTTTCCTTCTCAAGTTTCTGTATATACATCTGCCACTCTATTAAGAAGCCAATATACTTCCCAACTAGCTCTCAATTCATTTAAAACAACCTACAAATCCTTTCCCTCCGCTGGAGATCCTCCGTAGAGCCAAACCCACAATATGCACCGGATTTTCCCACCTCCCTATGCTGTCTAAACTCATTCTTTCTTGATGTACTCATCCTATACTGTAATATCCTCACCTCCACCCTACAGTTTTCGGGTTCTAGAACATCCGAGAATATTCTGATTAGAACAAGCCAAGATCCATCCGAGACTATTTCGACACTTGACAGCTTCTTTTGTGGGCTTTACTACTGGTACCTAGTTTTAGAATTCTCTCAAATCGATTTATAGCTCTTTTGATAATGGGTTCAGATTCGAGTCTATTAGCGTATATAGTATAACGTCTAAACAACGATCAGCTCCCTAAGCTCAGGATGACTCTGGAATACTGTGTTGCATCAGAAATTTAAAATCTTCAAACTAATAGTGGTTTGTGTTCTAAACAAGAAAATGTTATAGCCGGATTTTACTCATATTTTAAGACGTATTTGCCAGGAAACTTTCCTATCGTCGACTCTCATCCAGACTCGACGGCCATTTCCGGGCATGAAGCCTGGCCTCCGTCATGGAAATTGCTCCCGATGAGCTCCAACTGAAACGATTCAAGCTACAGGGTGCTAAATCCATCTATATAGGGTCGAAAGCCTGCACATAGAATAACCTCGCCGAAAGTGTAGGGGTACCGTGACATGCTGGACCGTGATACCTTAACCGTATCAGTTGCAAGGTTGAGGTGGTAAAAAACTGGAAGGCACCGAAGACAGTCAAGAGCGTCCACTTCGGGTTCTGTAACTTGTATCGGCGGTTTATACGGGATTTTGGGAGATTAGCAAAACCGCTGAACCATTTGACGAAAGGGACGGTGCAGTTCAGGTTTGACGAGAAGTGTGTGGAGGCGTTTGAGGCATTCGAACTTGCGCTCACCACAAGCCTAGTTATTGCGCATTACAATACCGAGCTGGAGAGCATGATTAAAACGGTTGCGTCGGACGGAGTCGTAGCAGGAGTACTGTCACGGTGGCAGCCCAATTCCGAGTGGCATCCGGTGGCTTGCTTCTCGAAGACGATGACTCCGGCGGAGTGTAATTACGAGATACACGACAAAGAGATGCTCGGGATTGTGAAGTCGTTGGATGCATGGAGGCCAGAGTTGGAAGGCTTACCTACTAGGTTGCAGGTGTTCACGGACCATAAGGCGTTGGAGTACTTCATGATAACGAAGAGGTTTACAGCCCCACAGGCCAGTTGGACCGAGCACTTGTCCCAGTTTTATTTCACGATCATGGACAGATCCGGAAAGCAAAATGGCAAAGCGGATGTACTGATGCGGCTGGCAGATGAAGCCCAGACACAAGACGAACTCAAAGACCACCATCATACGCGTGCTCTCCTCTTCCCGGAGAGCCTGGAGTCACAGATGATCACCAATCTCGGGATATTCGAGTTGGACCTGTGCCCGGTGGCGGTAGATGACGCAGAGCCTCTGTTCTTAGTGGAATCGGCTGATTGTTGCCGCTAATAAGTAGGCGGAGTCCTTAGAGGCGCTGCACTAGTAACTGATCTCTGCAGCTAGAAAGATGCCAATATTTCATACACTTCGGATCCAGGGATGGGGAGGGGGAGGAGGACCATGATAGTTGATGATTAGATAGTTGTGGTGTTATTGGAGGATGTGGATAGGAAATGCTGGAGGGGAGATGGTTGTTTTATAAGAGGTGGGAATATTGTTTAGGTATGTTCAGCTTGTTAGGCTTTATATGTTTTGATACTTTATACTTTTGTCAGAAGTGTATGTAGATTATATTTAGGTGTAGAATCTAAGCTATGTTATAGAGCGTATAAGTAAACAAGATGTACGCTCGTAGTGAATATAGAAGAGGGGTAGTGCTGTGATACCTGTAGTACCCATGACTATCTAACAAAGGTATATAATTTTATTAATATTGTTAAATACTATTATTATCCTTTGCAACATTTATACAATATTATCATGGAGGAATTGGCAGATTCAGGAATCACCAAGGCTATGGGACTCCAGATGGCTGTCAAGATTATCAATAATACAACAGGACCCAATGGTCTAATATCTATATTGCTTGTTTTTGGTATATATCCTCGAATGATTGAAATAGATACTCCAGTTTCTATCATTATTAAGCGTACTATAGTTATTTGGAAAGCAATAGAGAAAGTCCGGAAGATATACACTAAGCGACAGGTTTCTGATATATTAAATCAGTGAAATGGATTATTTATTATGGCTATTTATAGTTTTCCCCTGAATTCCAAAATTCTGGTATAGTGTGAAGGGAACAATAAATCAGGAGAATGAACAAGATTATTCAGACTGCTTACAATAGAGAATGAAATATCAATGTAGAACTCCTAAGCGAATTAATCAAGTTTAGGAATATTGTTATGAAACCTTTCTATAAAAAGCTAGAAAATCCTGGTGAAGAGCAAGAAATCAAGCAAAAAGCCAGAACACCTGTATTATTACTATTACCACAACGATCTTTGAGCACCCTATAAGTTATTATATGATAGTAATAACAGTTAATACAACCACAGGTACCACCACCAGCTGTTCAGCCTCATATACAACTACACAGTCATACCTGAAGTAATCTATCCAATGTCATCAATATTGACCAAATCGACCAAATTGACTAAATCCAAATTAACCGAATTGACCAAATTAACCAAATTGACCAAGGACCACAACTTTCAATCTTTTGTTAAGACAAGATCGATAAGGAGGAGTATATTGACTACATGGACGAGACGTTTTTCGGTTCTACTCAAGAAGTATCATCTATCTATGTTGAATCAAGACGCAAGGAGATCAATGGATTGATGGAGAATCGAACCCAGCGGATGCTATGACTAAGGGAAAGCCTTGTCAAGCATTGAGAGAACTAATCGACGACGACAAGGTCAGGATTAAGGTGACGGAATAGGTGGAATGCGAGTAAGAAAGGGGTTTACAGGAATTTGCAGGAGTTCATAGGAGTTCATAGGAGTTCATAGGAGTTCTTCAGGGATTCACAGGAATCTATAGGATGGAGGACTAGTATACTCTTTGGGTACGGTTTTGCATGATTTTAAAGAGTTTCCAGTGTCGGTATAGTCATCTATTGTACCGGAGCACCGGCGCTGTACTAGCGAAGGGCTAGGGCAAGCACTAGCTCAAGGACCTCAATACACATATAGTCCCCATCATGTAGAATAGCTTTCAATAAGATTTACAAGGTTATCAACACTGAACACTCGTCGGACTTTCTACCATCGTAGATCTGAAAGGTGTTCCCGTTGATACCAACAAGTACTGTTGATGGTGGTGGTGGCGATGGTGGTGATGGTAGTGGTACTGTTGAATATCATTGAGATAACGAATAGGGAGACCATGTACGAGTAAATCATGAAATATGCCACAACCCCGCCGCCTTCAACAAACGATACCCAGGACAATTTATAAAGTTATGTATGTCCCATACTAGGGGGTATACATCTTTTAGATCTGTTCCTGCCCCCGCCCCCTCCGTTTTTGATGACAATGATAAACGACGTCCCAGAATGAGTGCCAAAGTAGCTCAGGGGAGGAAGACAAGGCACAAAAGACTCCAGCACAAGTGCAAGCATTGAAACGACGGAAAATGAAGAAAGGGGACCATTTGAACGATGATAACCTTGTATCATCTCTATCATAATGATGATAACATATATTCATTACCATGTATATCAAAAATGTACTACATTCAATGCTGCGGTTGGTGTACTAAGTTTTTAAAACTCAACAACACCTCCAGCCTCTATAATCTTTCTTTCTGCCTCTTTGCTGAACCATCTTGCGCGCACAACCAATGGAACTTCTGGGATTCTACCCTTGCCGAGAACTTTCGAGTAGCATGCATATACTGTCCCAATAACCACTTAGTTAAGTGATTGATCAATTTCACAACATCACGATATCACAACCTTGTGCAAAATCTATAGTGTTATCATATACTCGAGTATTTGAAAGAGATAATAAGAACAATTCAGGATATGTCCATTTCGCCCATGTATTGGTCCACCAGCCAGCCCTAGAGTAAGAAAATGAATTAAAAAAAAAGAGTAATATTTGCTAACGTTTGAATCTTAGACTACTACAACATTTACTCTATCTCTCAGGAAATCCATCACTATCATCACTATTATTACAACTTCTATAACTATCAGCCGAATCGAGATCAATCCCAGCGTCAGGCCTCTAACAAAAATCAACACCACCGCCACCGCCACCGCCACTGCCAACACAAACACAAACGACACCAACCACACTGTAAGCACTACAAGTACATCGACAACTATTGTTGCTAGAGTACAGGATGGAAAGAGCGCTTGCTCTGCTTGCACCAAAGTGTGGTATGCCTATCGCATATTTCCTTCAGCAAGATTACTCGAATGTTCTTGCGATAGAATATGCACGAAAATTTGATACACCGAAATTGGCTGTACCTATCTCCAACAAGCTTGGCTTTTCTGTATATCGCCTAAATAACCCTTTCGCACGTCAAAAATGGGAAATAACTTTTCAACCAACAGAAACTATGCGTATGCGCGCAGAACAAACTAAACTAGTGCTCATCGCCGCCGCTGTCACCCCCCCAGCAATATACCGTAGTAGTATAGTTGATGATCATGAAGATAGTAGTTGTAGTGTTGAAAAAGGTTATAATGGTGGGGATAGTGGTGGTGGTGATGATGATAGTGACGTCGGCGGCAATGGCCGCGGAGACGGAGGTATATCCAGGATGATGGCTCTGTTAATACGGATTTTTCCGATGTTAGCATACTGATTGACAAATCATTCTCATTATCTTCGGCGTCATCTCGAAAGTATTGTGAGTTGCGCAAAGTTGCCATTTCCAATGCATTCTCTGGTTAAATCTCTTTGTGTGAGTATATGCCAGAGATTAAACTCTATGTGATCAATTATTGTCCTTTGTATGTTGATTTGGATTTCAGAGTTCAACAGGGAACTTTGGATTTTTTCATTCCATATAGCAGTTCTCCAATATCGTACCAGATACAAATCCAAGAGCTCGCTGCCCAGCATTGTGGGAGGTAAAAGCGTGGAAACATATACCAAGTGATCATTGAAATGAATACTTGCCTGATGATTCACGTTTAGACCGATCAAAAAGGTCATTTAACTGTACAGGACTCTCAACCTTTGAGAACGGCATAGGGAATAGAGGATTAATGGCGACCAAGGAAAGACCAAGTGATCATTTTGGAAGCAGGAAACGTCGTGAAGGGAAAGGTCCCAAAAAAAAAGAAATCACAAGGTTTTGGATTTGCCTTTTATTGGTTAATTTGATCAAGTGGATATCAGTGATTATTTGCGTGGGGTTGCGGGGGTAAGCTCTCGGTGTTTTTGGTAGTATGATTTCAAAATGGCAATCATCCATGATCTTGATAGAAACTTCACTCCCGAAACCTTTCATCAGAGCTCCGGCGAGATTTTCGTCGATAGTAAGTGAATCTCATCCGTTTGCATCATTGTAAGCAGGATTTTGACTTCAAATTGCAACCTTCCAGGCACCATACGACGCCCACCACAGCGACATCGATTTCTCTCTCATATTCGATGTTGGTTACGCCAACCGGCTGATTCCATGGAATCCAGATGGCCCTAAAATGATTGAATCTCTACATCTCACTGCCCACAATAACATATTCAAAATCCATCCCGATCATTTTATAGTCAACGGCTACAATGCCCTCCCTGATGCGCATCTATATATGAAGAGGAAATTGCTCTGTCGTTTGATTAGGAAAATCGCAGAGAAAGAACACGAAGATTCGAAATGGGGTACTGTTAATATTATGCGACATGAGCCTGAATGGTGGATTGATGGAGAGGTGGAGGATCCCGCTCTATATCGAGAGAGTCGCGGTTTTGATGACAGAAAAGGCCATAACACTCCCAACAACACCTTCTGCTCATAATGCACCTCATTCTACTGGCGAACGCGCTATGCGAGTACAATCCCCAAGGTTGGAAGCTATTAAGGATGAATGGTGATGGGATTATATGAATTATACCCATATAGAACAGAAACACCCTTGTGATGGGCCACGACATGATAATGGTGAGTTGGTGGATTATTCGTACTGGGGCTGATTTAAATGTTTCAGGATTTCGAGGCTTTGGGGTATGGTTGTCCTGGCGTTGATTTATACGTTTCAGGTTTGCAGGAATTTGAGGTATGGGATAGGATAGTGGTGCTATGGCGGTGGTGAAATGGGTTTTACGGTGGTGGTGGTGTTGAAAGGGATTTTAGGGGTAGGGTATGGTGTTATAGTAATAAGTATGCTTTTGGAGTGAGTATTGTGAATACCAGTATTAAAACAAAAAATTCATATGATTGTGTTCAAGTGCTAGTGTAAAATGATTCAAAGCTCACGGGACTAGTGTCACATAACAATGAAGCCGACCTATAGCTATCGGCTTTATAATAATCGATCTGTTGGTTTATAAAATATTTATAATATAGAGCTTCGTGCTCAAGAACAATTATATTGATATTATACTACGTTATCAGCTACCTACTTGAAACTTAGTCTAAACTATCTCGAGACCAGAGCTCTTGCCAATTCCATGTAACCCAAGAGGCTGTCCCTGTAATGTCACGTTATAAAATCACAAAGAAACGAATATAAGAGGAAAGAACCAAGTATTGTATTGACGATGAGAGTATTGTTTGGTAGTATATCCTCCCTAATGAAATTCCCTATGCAAAACTCCATACGAAAATCCATGCAAAATTCCATAACCCTTATACTTTATTCACCCTATTAATACTCCATCATAATATCGAATTCTCATATGCCAAACTACCATCTTTGATTAACCTCCTAATCAAACATTGTTGTATTCGAGAAGCAAAGCTTGAGTCTTAAATCGGGTAATGCGAAAAGTGAGTTCTTCAAAAAAAAAAAAAAAAAACGATAAGAGTTAGCTGTATTCCGATTGTTTTGAAGAAGAGGAGGATTTACCTTTTGCATCAGAAGAAAATAAGCAATTATAATTCCAATAACCAAGACAAAGCAAGCTCTCTCTTGCTTCAATGCAGTAATCTCTGTTTGCATTAAATTCCGATCGTTTTGAAGAAGAGGAGGATTTACCTTTTGTACAAAAAGAAAATAAACGATTGCAATTGCAATTCCAACAACAAAGCAAGCTCTCTCTTGCTTCAATGCAGTAATCTCTGCTTGTATGGAAGCAAGCTCTTCCTTGTGCGTTGCTTGCATCTCCATCATTGAATTATGTATATCCAATACCGCTGCCGCCATTTCTTCTTCTATTTCTTCTTCATTGTTAGTGACAATTCTGAACTCTGACCCTGAAGAGAAGTGATTGAAATCCATTTTGATGAATGTTGAATAGATAACTTGAAAGTTTGTATTGGTTTGTGTACTTACTAAGTAATTCCTTTTTGGAATGGATATAGAGAGTTTAAGTATTGATGTGGATGTGGGTTGTAAATAGGCTTAACATCGCAAGGCGGAAAGAAATCAGGAAGGAAGAAAGTTGTGAGTATTGTAAATAGGCTTAACATCGTAAGGCAGAAAGAAAGAAGACCTTTTTTAAAAGAACAATTTTGATACAATTTGTATTGGTTTGTGTACTTACCAAATAATTCCTTTTCGGAATGGATATAGAGAGCTTAAATATTGATGTGATTGTGAATATTGCAAATAGGCTTAATATCGGAAGGCAGAAAGAAATCAGGAAGGAAGAAAGTTGAACAATTTGAATCAATTTCATAAGTAAATGAATATAATAAACAGTAAATTACTATTATACCATTTAGAATCTAATCTCCTACTATAGATTACTATAGATCTCCACCTTTCCATTGTATTTACCATTTCAACCATATTTACCCTTCCACCATAGAAACCCTCCTACTAGATATACCTTCCTCTCACTATAGAAACCCTCCCACTATAGATTTTACTATAGAATCTAAATAGCATAAGAGTAATTTACTGTATTCTAATCTTACAATGAAATTGAATGAATTTATTAAGTGATCAACTTGCATTCAAAACGATTCTATTCAAAATTAGAAATCTTCTCATAATAAAATTATAGATAAAAAGGGTATCGATATCGTAAGATAATATAAAAGTTAAGGTTGAGTTATTATTGAAGCTATTTATTTGTCATCATAATTCACTATTTCTGACGGAAGGGGAGAGTAGATAATAGAGGGGTAATAGAAAGCGGTAAAGCGAAAGAAATTAGAACCTGAAGGAGGGTAGTAGAAAACCTGTTGGGATATAGGTGATTTTAATTTTAATTTTAATTTTAAGAACAGCTGATAATCTATATTGTCACAAATGGAGGGCTTAGGGCAATGGTAATAGGGAATTGTGACGGAACAGACGGCTCTCTTCTGTCCACTGGCTTATATCATGTATATAGTATAATAAGACGGTTCTCTTGGACCTTCCTTTCACAGCTTAGAGCCCTAGCTCTATAGCTCTAGACCTAGGCATCGTACGATGCTTATCTCTAGGACTCTTTCACTCTTCTGGGCCTAGCCCTTATGGCTCCCAAATACCTGTGTATATAGTTGTCACGGGTTCACTGCCCGTTTCTAGCTAGCTCGGATGGATGCCTTAGGCATCCATCCACCATATAGTCGTCGTCGCTCCGCGCGCCTCCTTCTCTCCTCGTCGAATATCATACATCTTACCTAGTACCCGTACCAGCCCCGTGATAATAGTCCTCCTTTTAGCACCCAACATAGCTCTTCACTTGTAGATTCTAAGTACACAATCGGAGTCCTGTTTATACCCTTTTGGTCACATATATATATAACTGCTGTTGGAATATCACTAATATTGTATGTGTGTAACCTTAGAGGTATTCTAGTGGTATGGGATATATGTATAAGTGCGTGAGGCACGTGCATAAAGACGATATCACATGACCTTTTGTGACTCTGTATTGCACTTCCAACAAGTATAATCTTTCGTTAGATCTTCGAGAACTGGAAGTTTGATACCATCAAGCTGAATATGTGTATCTTGCTCCCTAGCCCCTAATCAAAACATTATGTAGCGAAACAAAGTTACGTATCTTATCATCATAATGGTGCTAACGAACTTGAAAATGATGGAATTCGCGTGAGATTGAAACGTTACTCCAGTCACACCGAAAATACAAATACTACTCCCATGATTCTTAGATCAGCGATTGTCATTGAAATCATTCTTTTTATGATACAGTGTCTTGGATTGGTTTGTCTAGGGGTCTTGGCATATAGTATGTTTGTTGGAACACGTGCATCAATCCTACTCTAATACTCGGAGCGTATCACTCCGTAGAGCGGGGTAGGATCTCCCCTATAGTTAGCACCTCCCACTTCGTACGAAGTGGGAGGTTAGACAGAATGAATTACCTTTTATGTATACACCTTTGAAGTCTGTCCAACAATATTGGTTTTGGGTCTTTGGTGATACTATTTTCTTATATGAGTAGTTTATTATCAAGTTGGTTGCTAGGGATAGACTATATTGTCTAGTATAGTATTGTTCGACAGGCTACAGCTAAATGCAGAGGAATGCTCACCCGGTCTCTTTTTGAGATGATGAGATGCGAGGTTTGTAGTATAGGATTTTTAGTTGTGATTTATATACGAGTACATGGATTTGCTTTCGGCATAATCGAGAAAGATCGAAGATTAGACGAAAATCTGCACTTGTGACCTTATGGAAATATTGAGGGTATTGGTGCTGCTGATAATTCGCGGGGATTCTTGTACATGGAAGTTGATCTATCGGTCATTTGTTACTTCCTATCTTTTTAAGAGAGATGGTTTTCTCAGACTTAGATATAGCAAGAGGATAAGGTGAGTCTACAATTTTGGCAGTGAGTTACAACTTACAAATGGCTTTTGTACAATGTTCTATTGCCAGCTATGTTGAGAAACGAGACCGATAATTTTGGGAGGAGAAGAAGAAGAGAAAGAAGAAAACGAAGGAAGCAACATTATTGTAGAGAACTTGGACCTGTAAGAACAATATCCAGCGCCCAGAATATTACAGAACATTACGTTCAGCTCATCCAAGCTGATCATGGGAAGCAATTCAATTAGATGGGTAGCTAGAGATGAGAATCCGTGGTCTTGGTTCTATTGCATCCATCCCCTCTGCAATATAGCAATTATTTCTTACCATGATTTACTCGCGCAGTAGAATAATTCTTGTGTTTGGTAAGCCGAGACATAGATGTATTAATTTTATTTCTGGGTTTCGCCAAGGTCTTTCATCCGAGATTGATATCTATATATGGCTGAGAAATATGGACTGAAAATCTGATGTGGGATTTGCTTTATGATGATAATTTGACGTATAGTTCATATTGTATCAATGCAAGTATCTTCAGTTCAGTACCGTATATTGCGGCAGAATAGAGAGGCTATTTCAGCCTGATCATGAGTTAGTGTAATAATCATAAAGGCAATGGGAAGCTGTTTTCAGCTGCCCATAATGGATATTTTCTAGGAATCAGTGATTCAAAAGTTTCTCGGAATGGATTCACTATCGACAGAGTTCCTTGTATTTTCATCTTTAAACAGGCCCATGGAGATAAATGAGATATTTGTAAATAGCGAAGTTTTACCCGTAAGTATGTTCGTCCCAAGGATGAAGGATGAAGTGGAGCAGGAGAGATACGATGCACTGCTAGTGTCTGAAGAAGACGTTGGAGATATGGTTTTGATATATATCGGTCATCTGAACTTAGACGTCAAGCTCATTCTGAAATGCGTGGGAAAGTAAAGCACAATTTGATATTAGGAAGGATAATGAGGATTCTAAATCTTGTAGGAAGCGAATTCGATCTAATATGTATTCCTTCTCCTACCCAAGGGTATTACTTCCATGGTCTAATGTAATTGCTACCCAAACTCTTTCGTTTTTACTACATATTAATTCAAGTAATGTTCATTCAAGCACATGGCGAGGTGAAGACGAAGATTTGATACTCAAAGGTTCATAATATAATCTAACAAGCTATCTACTCTTACAAAAGAAAAGGAAAGGAAAACAAAAGAAAATTAATCCAAAGAAAGCTATTCTACTTTTTACAAAAATGACAAAAGAAAACTAATCTACCTGAAACTCGGTAATCCCCTCCTTCCGCAACCTCTCCTACCTCTCCCAATCATCCATTAACTCCATCATCACACGATCCTGGTCAACTGTCGGCATTTGGGGCCCTAAAAGGGTAGGAGCGCGAGTGTCACGGTGCGACCCGTGTATTGGCAGCTGCTGGTCCACGCCGGAACCAGCCTCCAACCCCAAACTGCTTCCAGCAGCCATCTCAGAGCTCTCGGCACCGGACACTGCTGTTGAAGAAGACGCCAGGGTTGCCAAGCCCATTGTCCCAACAGCTCATGTCTCAGCTCCCAGAACAGCCGCTGTAGAAGACGATGGGGTTGCCATGCCCACCGTCTCAGCAGCTTGTTTTGATCTTGCTGCCCGAGTTGCTCTTCTCCTCGTACGAATCCTTGATACGCTCAAGCCAGCTCGACGGAGTCTCTCAGCTGCTGCATCGGCAGTCAGCTTGTGATCCCCCGTCAAGCCCAGCGCGATAGCGCGCTCGGCACGCTCCACGCTGTTGGCTGGACGATCGTCCACGCAGCGAGGTAACCAGCTACGTATCAATCCTTCACGTCGGAGCTCCTCATCGGAGACTAACGCGAATCGTCGGTACGCGCAGTAAAACTCGCCACGAGCGCTAAAAATCTTCGATGCGCGAATGTGTCTCTGAAGTGGTGGCAATCGCACCAGTTGGAGAACATCGTGATCGGAAAGGTTATTGCCAGCCGATGGAGGATATGTCATCAACCTCCGCACCTCGGGATGCGCCTTGTTTGCAACAGAGGGGCTCACACCGCGCTTCTCGAGGCGTTCTTGAACAACACCCAACCTGTTGACGATCGTTTCCTGTCCCACCCATTGTTTAGTCAACACTGTGTCAGTGCCATGAAATGCATCTTCGTCGTCTGCTTCAACGTCGTTCAAAGGCTGATGCTCAGATGGACGACCAGCGAGAGATTGAAGTCGAGCGCCGGCAGATTGTGGTGGAGAAGCAGCAGCGGCAGCAGGTGTTGATTGAGCAGCAGCGCGTTGAATTTCGTCAGCATGCTCTGGATTTAACCATCGATATTGACCCAGTAAGATGGCGCCCAAGTGATCGTAGTGGTCGTTAAGATCACCGGCGTCAAAGTGACTGGTATCGCCTTGCTCTGCCAGCATGAGACGGACGACATGGTGTATCTGTTCACGGAGCGGTACGCCCGAGCCGCATCTTTTCAATACTGGTCTTGCAGCAAAGAAGCGATCTACTTCAATTGGGTTTCGTGGGATCCAAGATTCGAGGAAAGAAAGCTCTTCCTGAGTAGGTGGTGGCTCAAGAGTCATGGTTAATAGATAGGGTTCTAATATTAGGTGTGGGTAGAGAGTAGAATCAATGATTTGGGAAGGAACATCGTCGTGCGGTGAACGAAGCTGACCATCGAAAGGTTGATCGTCGTAGGATTGACTGGCAAAGTGCTGACTGCTATAGTGTTGGCTGTCAAGTTGTTGACTGCCGAATGGCTGGTGCTGAGGCAAGGAATTTTCGTATTGCTGTTGTGGGGAAAGACCACCAGAGTGTAATTGACCAAGATCGGGAGATTGGCGGCGGACAGAATACGTAGGCTGTAAGTTGTGCGGTGTTGAAACAGAATAGCTCTCTTGTTGATCTACGGGAAATTGTCATTAAAGATCTGCACCATCAAGATCGAAGGGAAGAAGAACTTACGGTTTGAATAAGGTTCTGAACTTTTACTTATGATACTACCACGCTCAGAAGCAGTGGCTACGTGCCTTTCGAAGTCTGGCTGGTACTCTTGGTTCTTGAAATCTGGCGCGTTATCTACATGTTGGAGTTAATTTTTGAACTTGAGCTTTGGATAGAGGAAAATAATAGTTACCAAGGTGCGTTTGATTTAAATTCTCGAATTCTTGGTTGAAATCAGATTGTTCTTTTTCTTTGAGCTCTTGTTCTTGTTGGATGACAGCAGTGGCTTGTGGAGGATTATTGTTGTTGTTGTTGTGGTCGTGCTGGAGAAGAAGGGGATCAAGAGGAAAAGCTTGAGAAGACATCTTAAAATTGAATTTTAAGTGTGGATTGTGGTGGCTGGTTCGATTAGTAATTGAGTACAGTCATGTGAGCTGGTGGTGCATGACAGAATACATACATATTTGGATCGGAAAGCTGGTCGTCGTTGTCAAAGTTGTGGTTGTTGTGGTATTTTGAAGAAGAAAAAATTTTGAAAATCAGAAAGAGATGTCAAGGAGATATGGTTACTTCTTCGGCCTTATTATAAGCCGATGGCTAGCCGACCGTACTAACAACATATTAAAGACTGCACTGCAGCTGGATGGACTGTGCCCGGCAGGACAGTGAATGTATGGGCTATTCACCTCATCTATTGTGTGGCTACACATGACAACTGATAGATGAAGATACCTCTAATGAAGATGAGACTGATAGTAAAGAAGCCTGTTATTTCACTGTTGTACTCATTAGAAGACAGTCCTTGAATGTTTTTAATTCTGAGGAAGTAGCTGTTTGTTATCGTCCTAGTCCCCTGAGCTTTCAACTTCTAACATTGTTTATATGACTATATATCTTCTATGTCAAAGCACATACAGCATTGGATAAGTGCAAAAAGCCTAATGAATATATCTTTGTATTAATAACTGTGTCTACAAAGGCTTAGAGTGTACTATTCCATTGTATTGGAGTCTGATTGACTTTGCTGTACTTGAAGAATATCAAGCTCAGATCATATTCCTTCAATGCTGTAGGTTTCTGAAGACAATAGTAGTGTTTGGGTGTGATACATATGTCTACATACCTTCATTCAATGATGCATAGTCAAGACTTTACCCATCATTTAGATCAGACTAATCATTTACCAACTTTAACCTTCAGATTTTCGAATCCTTTTTTCCCTTGTTCCAGAGAACAAGATGATTTGAGCCACCTCTGTCATAATGAAGAGATGAAGGAACAAAATTCTCAACATCGGAAAGATGTGCCAAGACCACTAGGCTGGATAATAAGCATTAATGTAATGACTTTGGAATAGTAATTTGAAGTTAGTTGCCAATCGTAATATAACTTTACTGGACGTGGAGGTCGCGTTTGCCAAGAAACATGAGGTCACCATGGTTACCCTCGATGTCCAGGGGACATTCGATACACTCCTTCCACGACGACTTCTGGCAAGAATGGCAAAACAAGGATAGCCCAATGAGCTTCTGAAACTTGTACAAAGTTTCCTAGAAGACAGGGAGATAAGGGTTCGACTCGAAACAGCTACCACGGATTACCAATATATTCAATATAGTACACTACAAGGATCTCCACTCTCTCCAGTTCTGTATATAATATATCTGGCAAAGCTGCTCAATTAGAATAAGGACCTCAGATTCGGATACACGGACAATATCTATATATATTTGTTAGAACGCATACTACTGTACCCTGTACCACGTGCTGGTACCCTAGCATTGTGCCCTCGGCTAGTACTGACGCTAGCCTTAGCGCATACACTAGCTAACTTATCATTACAACTGTAATGTAGAGTATATACAATATAATACACAGTTACACTTCCAACAATATTACACAACTCCACAGATTCGCTAGAACATTACAGTACTCTAACGTACAATATACGGTAAATACCTGGAATAGCATCATTTTGAACTTTGATACCCGAAAGAGCCTAAGTGCTAATCGAGGTATGACATATGCTATTTCAGGTTAAGTCTTTTGTGTTATTCTGGTCGCAAAATAAAATATGTTAATCTGGCCTCAGGAACAGAAATGATGCTATTCTGGTCACAACTTTATGTGTTAATCTGGTTGCAAGAAGAAAAAAAGGTGCTATTCCGGTCACAAAATTTATATGTTAATCTGGTCGTCAAGAAAAAAAGGGTTTATTCTGGTCACAAAATTTATATGTTAATCTAGTCGTCAAGAAGAAAAGGTGTTATTCTGGTCACAAAATTTATGTGTTAATCGAATTCGAGCTTCCGAGCCTACCATCGAGCCCACCTCCGAACCTACCTCCGAAATGGACACGATGGACACGGTCGTCGATGCCTTGAAGGCTATCCTCAAGGACGCCACTGCGCGCCTCCTTGGCACCATTTTCGAAGAATTCGAAAAAGCCGCCATAGCCCTTATCACCAGAGCCTTCGATTCTTGAAGGACAGGGCCTTGCTTTATATCGACAACGATACACTCGAGGACTTCGTGGCGGCTACATTCGACGATATCAGGGATACGGCTATTGCCCTTGCGGAGGCGCTTTTGGAGAGAGCCAGGGATATGGCGGCTGCCTTCGTTTTGGGTGCATTGGAATTGGATGTCTAGGGCAAAGGGAGGGCGAAGGGGGGGAGGGGAGGGGGGGTCCATACGAGAGGATATGGGGAGGGGGGAAGGGGAGGGGTCACACGAGAGGACATGGGGCTATTACTTACACCAAAATAACGAATCAACTTTGAGACCAGAATAGCACCCTTTTCTTTTTCTGCGCCCAGATTAACACATGAATTTTGTGACCAGAATAGCACCTTTTTATTTTTGCAACCAGAATAACACATTATTTAAACACGACTGAAATAACACAATGTGTTAATTCAGGCCTAATTAGAAAGTTTATATGCTATTTCGGGTATCAAAGTTGAAAATGATGCTATTCCAGGTATTTACCGTACAATATACTAGATCATGAACTAGGGTAATCAAAACAAGATCGCTTTCGCTCCGGAAAAACTTGAGATGATCTATCTTTCCTGTTGATAAACTATCTATACTCTGGATCTAGTAGTAAACAACAATCTCACAATCAGAGTTATCTCCGATATAAGGGACGCAAAAGAACAATCTATACTCTGTTAACTAAAAATATAGTTCGATTACAAAATGATCTTCAAAAAGCATTTTGCAGAGAGAGAAAAGAAAGCATATAAAATTGCATAATATATCAAAGGTCTAACTAAGGTCAAGAATGGCCCTCTGGCAGCATCCCTACAAAAGGCAATAATCATATATATACTCTTGTCTATTCTATTCGGTTCAGAGGTATAGTATTATAGGCACACAAGATCAAGCCGATCAAAGAATATTACCAGAAATATTATGATTAGTATTAAACTAGGTATTTATATTAACAAAATCAACTGGATCATAATACTAGTTGTTAAAGGGGTTTTGCCTGTATAACGGACCTCTCCAATAGTGAGTATATTAAGGGACACTAGCCTGCCATCTGGAATAGTCACATTCAAGCATACCAGAACAAGATTCGCTATATGATTTAAAACTGTCAATACAGGGTATCCACTAACCATCCAATTTGCAAATTTTTGAAAAAAAAATAGCACCAGAGCACAAAACTCAAAACATTCGAACCTTTGATTCTATTCGCTTTTCAACCAATATTAATACTTCTGTATTTCTCACCAGACTATTATACTAATCTAACCAAAAACATTAAAAAGGAATTAGTTGCTGAAGAATTCAAGGAATAATAAAGTTTAACTTCTGAAGGATTATATCACAGTCTTCTCCAATAGCTCAAAGCAATATAACCAATATAAAATTATTAGCTATAGATATATTGTATACAAAAGACAAATACTAATTGGCTCCGAATATAAAATTATTAATACAATATCCCATATATTCAATACAAAAGCAATCAGAGCTTTCAAAGATTTACAACACACAATTCGATTAGCAACTAACAAACAAGCCCCAATCACAATATATATCAACAGTATTTTTGTTAGAACGCATATTACTGTACCCTGTACCACATGCCGTACCCTAGCATTGTGCCCTTGCTAGTACTAACACTAGCCTTAGCGCATACACTAGCTAACTTAACATTACAACTGTAATATAGAGTATATACTATAATATACTATACAATTATATTTTCAACAGATTATAAGCTTCGTATAGACGTATACATAATACAACTTGCTTACTACTGATTATTTTATCAAACTCTATCAAAAGAATCTCTTTAACAATAACACCCTCTACTCCCACCACTCAGCCAACTATAGTTTCAACAAAATGGGGTAATATTGTTGTTTTTACAGATAACAACAAGAACGAATTCAAGGAATCTTGCCTATTTGTACTTGCAGCAACTGAGGCTGTTGATATAGTTAAGAACCTTGAAGGATCATCAGATCCCTTTGATAATGATTTCACTGAAACATTACTCGGAGATTACAAGAGAAGAAGAGGTTACACAATCGCTATACTCAATGTTAGAATCAATACAATCTATTGCTCTAGCCTTATCGAATATATAAACAATCTCGATATCGCTGGCATGTGGATAATTTTCAAAGAATATGATAATAATGCTTACCACTAGTTCGTTGCTGAAGTACGCTGTTAATTTCAATTCGAAGTCTTCGACTCTAAAACCCAAACTCTTCGAAACTTTGTTGAATATCTCCTTCATTATCAACACCAGATCTCTTCGAGTAAACGATTAATCAATAACAAAGAGATATATTCTCAATTCATAAATAAGATCTTTAAAACCGAAGAATGGCAGGTAGTTAAGATATTCGCATTCAACACTAATCAAACTTTCAAATAAGCCCTTTTGGTTTTCAGCGCTTATAAAAAATCAGTCACTGTTATCGCTACATACACAAATACCAGGGGAAAAAGACAAGGTTATGAAGGACAAAGCAATCGTAGAAGACGAGGTTGTGAAAAACGAGGTCGTGGTTATAATAGTAATGATAAGGGAGATAATAATAATCGCGGAGATTACATTATAGATACTAGTGGAATTGATAAAGATCAATATCGCTTCTGTTATAAGAATGGTTATTATCAAAAGGATTGCCAAACCTATACTAAAGCAACAACACTTGCTAGAGACAAAAAAAGCAAGAAGAAAGAAAACAATAATAATAATGAAACTGAAGCTTGTATAGCTGAAACAGAATAATATAACGATACTGTCTATTCAGGATTTGCAATACATATGATAGATTCAAACAAGGATTGGATACCTGATTTAGAAGCTCCTCAACATTTTACTGGTTAATTAAATAATATTGAATATATTCAATATTAGACTATTCCAAGGAATATCAAAATCACAGACAACATTTATATTAAAAACATTGTCTTTGGGAATACCAAGATTAGCAATTTTAAGTTTTTGAATGTATAGTATATACCAGCATTTGGTATTATACAATTAATATCTATCAAGCTTTTTACTACAAACAAAAACAAGGTTATATTCGAAGGCAATACAGTTTCTTGCTGGAAATTTGGCTAGCTTCAATTTATTGTAAGATTTGTGTCTGGAACCTATATTATCAACCAATCGTTTGAAATCGATATAGGATATCTTACCCTTCAAAATAATAAAAAAGGGGATCTGGAAGAATCGAATGCAGAACTAGCACATCAACGATTTGGTTACTTTAATTATGATCAGATAAAGAAATTAAAGAAAAGATCTACTGGATTGAAATTTGCAAAGAAAACAAAGATAAAAGGCTGGAGAGCCTGTGGATTGTATCTTGCTAAACGAATAAGGGAAAACTTTAATAAAGAGATAGTTATACGAATATATAGGAAAATTCGATGATTACATTGCGATCTCTCAGGGATTCTAGTACCCTTTACAAATAGTAACAAGTATTTTCTTCTAGTAACAGATAATGCTATTAAAATCGATTGGATACGATATACAAAGAACAAAACAGCTACAACAGTGGTACCGATATTGATGGAAATTATTAAAAATATTGAAAAGGAAATAGGAGAAAAAATGACAATCATTCGTGTAGACAATAGAAGAGGCGAATTCGGTATTGCCTTTTAAAATGAACTCAAGAAACTCGGGATTCAATTTGAACCCTCTCCTTCAGGAAAGTATTCAATGAATAGAGTTGTTGAGAAACACATTCAAAATATCAATGCTAGATCCAGGAGTTTATTTAATCAAGCAGGTATGCTAGAAGATCAATGGGAATTTACAATTTGTTATATCGTCTGGCTTTGCAACAAAGTATTTATGAAAGCTTTATTATTTGGAGAATCAGGATCTCTTTTTATAGTTATTACTCTATTTGAAGTGTATTATAGTAGATTACCTGATTTCACTAATCTACGAGTATTTGGCTATAAAGCATTCGTTCTCAACCCTCAATTCCCAGGAAAATTAATAAAGAAATTCGAATTAAGGATTTTAAAAAGAGACAATGTGTTTGTTGGCATAAATAGTTACCATATTTATTTTCTATTCAATCTCATTTCCAAGAAAAGAATTAAAACTGTAGATACTGATTTCAATGAATACAGTTTCTTATTCAAAGAAGTATTAAACGAACTGAACTCTGGTATAAACAAGAAGACTCTTATATCTGGTACAGATAAGAAAGCTCCGAAAGCAAAAAGAGGTCCATTGTCTGCAGTAGTAGGATCTCAACAAAAGAGAAGAAGAGTACCTCAAGCTTTACTTTTGGTACAAGAGGATATTCCACAAGCAGATACCAACGCTATCAGAGGACTATTGAATACTGCTTGCAAATACTGCTTGAGAAAGATTTTCAATGATCAAGTTGTACAAGAAGTAAAAACTTTGAAAGTTATCATTGTCGATACTGAAAACTCTATTCTAGCAGATGGTCTAGGAGTGTCTCTTGAGGCAATAGAACTAGAAGAGGCTATGCGTGAGGATTGTAAGCAATGGCTAAAAGCCATTAAGTCAGAATTGACTAGCCTTCGGGAGAATAGCACATTTCAAATTATATAAGGGAATATCCTAAAGAGCAAAACATTGATAACTTTTAAATAGGTATTACGAAATAAGATGAATCAGTTCAATCAAATAGCTAGAAAGAAAGCTAGACTTGTTGTCAAAGGCTATCTACAACATGCTAGTATTGATTTCAAAGAGATGTTTGCTGGAGTTGGCAGATATTTCACATTAAGAACTCTATTGGCTAAAGCTGCAGTAGAGGATTTAGAGATTGATAATATAGATATTGATACTGCATTTCTCAATGAGAAATTAACAGATGTAGAAATACTAATGGAAATTCTATAGTTTTTCGAAAAGGTATACTCAGAAATTAAGGAGATATTATTAAAATCCTTATAGGGAATTAAGGTTTTCTTGAAGCTTAAGAAGTTACTTTATGGCCTTAAGTAAGCATCAAGAATTTGGTAATTGGTAGTCAAGAAATTTCTGAAAAATATAGGATTCACAGTTTTTTCTGCAGACCCAAATCTGTTTATTGGAAACGGAGTATACATTCTTCTTTATGTGAATGATCTACTAATTATTGGAAACTGAACAAACGTCGATAAAATCAAAACGAAAATCAGTGCAAAGTGGAATGCAAGGATTTAGGCCCTACCCGAATGTTTCTAGGTCTTCAAATCGAACGCAATAGGCCTGAGAGAACTATAAAGATTCACAACTCAAACTATACGAAAAGAATCCTTCAGCGTTTCCATATCGATGAATCAATGGCCAAAGATCTACCACTTCCATTTGGCACAACTCTTTATACTGCGGAGGCAACAATTCTACTCGGGGAGGACGACAAGAATCTATATTTACAAATTGTAGGCTCAGTTATCTATTTGGCAAACTGCTCTCGATCTGATATCTCTTTCGCTGTTGAACAACTAGTGAGAGTTATACAGTCTTCAGAAAAGCAGTATTTGATATACACTAAACACCTTTTACAATATCTTATAGGAATAGCAAATACTGGATTAGTCTACTCAGGACGATTACGCCAGCTTCCTTCAGAATACAATGCATTCATTGACTCTACTTGGGGTTCTGAGCAACGAATTAAGTCAACTCAAGGAGTAGTTATCATAAGATATGGAGGAGCAGTAGTCTGGTCATCAACAAAGCAGAAATCGACTTCACAGAGTACAATGGAGGCCGAAATTATCGCTGTAAACGAGGGAGCTAAGGACTTAGCTTGGATGGAAAAGCTGGTATATGATCTAGGAGAAAGATCCCGGGAGGAACCATTTATTCCTATCTTGTATTGCGATAATAGGAGTGGAGTTGATTGGATCAAGGAGAACAAATTTCACAGTAAGGCAAAGCATATAAATATCAGATGGCATTATATCAGGGATGATATAGTCGACGCAAACAGGATTAGGGCTTTGTGGATTGCAGGCACCGATCAAGCAGCTGATATTCTAACAAAACAGCTTATATACCCTGGGTTTTGTGTACATTGTATTGGTTTAGGATTTGATATTGATACGGAATAAAAGGAGTATTCTTGTATTATAGCATGGTATTAAACTATAAGATACTGAACTTCTACAGGGAGATTAGGTATTATAACCATAGCTAAGAGCTAGTATATTGTTACAGGAGTTAACGAGGCTCTAGGGTTCTGATGATTAAGGTTTTTGATCATAGGGGGGATGTTAGAATGCATACTACTGTACACTGTACCATGTGCTGTACCCTAGTATTGTACCCTTGTTAGTACTAACGCTAGCCTTAGTGTATACACTAGCTAGCTTAACATTACAACTGTAATGTAGAGTATATACTATAATATACTATACAGTTACACTTCCAACAATTTTAATTCTTTAATATATTTATGCAAATACAATTGCCTTGTTACAATAAGCCTTTCTCGAATATTATAAAATAATAAAAACTCGAAATATCAATATCTACTAATCCCCTAGCTATACTGATATCGAAGGAAACAAACAGATCAATCAACTAATAGATCTTGATATTAAGAATAGACAAGTATCAAAAGATAACTATATTTATTCTACAATCAGTAGTATTGAATCGATAATATGATTTTTAAAACGAAATACAATCAATCTACAACTAATAGTGTATTGCCAAAAACTCTTTATTAACAATATATTTGAAATAGGAACTGGACTATTTCATCAAAAAACCTCCCAATCTTATATTTCCAAAAGGAATATTCCATTAACTCTTAGCAATATATATAGATTACAATAATTTCTTATCCTATCATTGTTGTTTCCAGTATACTGATATTAAACTCTATTATATATACAATTACAACAAAATATCAGATTATATACTTTTCTATAATTATTTGATTCGAAAGTTTAGAAAATAGTCTAATCAGATACCTTTTCTATTAGCCAACAAATAACAAAGAACTAATTATATCAAAAGCCTACTTGAGAAGCCTAAAGACTTTGCAGACTTCCTCAAATACACCAGGTATTTCGAATACCCCAATCAAGCCGAATAAAGGCATTGCAATCTACCCTTATCTACTTGTATATATATACATTTACCTGCATATACCTACCCCTACCTGCACCTACCTACACCTACCTATATCTACCTGTATCTACCCTCATTACAAGACCAAAAACCCTGTGACATTCTGATCCTTATCCCAGTGTTATAATAAATATAACTTTATAAGCTTATAAAAGCTTTTTAATAATAATAAATATACTCTAAACAGAATAAGCAACTTATATACAACAAGTTACCACCAAAACAAAGGAATAGTATCCCCTTACTTGGCATTAGAACTAGAGCTTGCATCGGAAATGCAAGAAAATTAGCTATTTCGAAATAATAAATATGGATTTCTGTATATATGTAATTAGTACCTTACTTTAGCCCATCCCCAGTACCCTTCGGGAGGTTGTGGGTAGGCTCCGCCTACCCCCTGGACGTTGATTTATTAAATAAATAAATATAACTTTATTGATTTGGCATGGATATTATGAAGATTCGACTAGCTAATTTGTACGGACAGCTAACAGTTAGCGTTGCCAGCTAGCTAATTAGTCACAGTTAACGGTTCCGCAACTGAACTTTGAATATTTTTCTATAATACACTTATTGATATTATCTTGATGATGCTCAATGTCTCTGATGAGTAGTACAGTTTGAAAGTTTCGATTGATTGGTGATTAAACTCATCTTTAGGTCAAACTGGAATGTGCATATACTCTGCCCAAAGTAGCAAAGATCTTTACCCCGGGCCATGTTCACTCATATTGCCACAACTACTTCAACGCTCTAGCTAGTATTGTATCTGAAGCTTATATTTGAAGATTGCAGTCTTCAAAAATCCAGATTTAACTCTGAGATTCTAAACTCTTGGTATCTACGGGAGCACCTTCAAGTTCTAGATCTGCACATGGTAGGAAATCTAAATAAAGTTCCATGATTGATTCTTGTCATCTGAAAGCTATTTTACAGAACAGAAATCTTATATAATGGGACTAGTGCTATACACTAGCTTTATTCTTCGCTTATATCGTATGGTGCTAGTACAGCACTTTGAATGTAACGTCTCCAACATAACCTTTAGCCTTGAGACAGTAGTGCTTAGATGTTCCCGAGAGAAACTTTTCGGCCGACTTCCAGTCAAAAGGCCTTGACGTATGATACTTACAGTGCTGTTGCTATGATGTCTTGTCAATTCTGTCTTTAGATTAGAACTAAGCTCATTATTGTTCTAGATCTCATTGTAATCTCATAGTGTTGCATTTGCACCTCCAGTAGATATATCATCAGGCAAGCATAGCATAGTACTAGCTTCATTCTAGTAAATTCCCATACTCAAACAGCTTCGAACCTATGTAGTGTCGAAGTACAAAACTATTCTCTCCAGATGAGATCTCAATATATCTGTCTGGTGATCCAGACAAAAACAAAAATGCTTGGAGTTTCTGTTTCATGTTCTCTTAGATTTCATCCAGGCCTTTCACAGAAAAGGTAGAGTCAGCAGTATTGTAAATCATTTCACATTAATTTCGATGGATATTTGTCGCATTTGCTCTTGAAAGCCTCTATCCCCGATTCCACTACTGCCTATGCTTTCTTTTTAAACTTTAAGCCTCTTCCTTTGATTCGTTCCTTTTGACAGCCTCACTTTAGTGCCTTTGATACAATACTGGAAGGGCCGTAAGAATCTTCTATCCTCTTCTCGATACTTCCATTTCGAACCTTCAAGGACTTGGTTCTACGATATTCCTCTATCTCTAGCCCAAGTAGCCTATTCAGAATCTGCATATTAATCAACATACAACAACCAATTTCTTTCCTTCCTTCCATTCCATCTGCCCATTAAATTGTTTAAGGCAAGGGTCATATGGTGTTTTAGGCGCAATTTCACGAGAGTTCTCACAGATCTTTAAACAACCATAAATACCATTTCCGAATATGGAGACTACAGGCCCTTGCCATTTCAATGCAGAGCAATGTCAATTATTAAGCTCATCTATCTCTAGCAACACCTCCAACCTCACCGTTTCATTTTTTCACTTCGACGTTCCACAAATTCCACACCTTCATATATACGTTACTTCGACACTTTTGACATTCAATCAACACCGCTACTTCACTTCTTCAACTTTCATATACTTGTACCATTTGATTCTGTTGGTAAGTGTTGGTATCAACGGGAACACCTTTCAGGTCTACGATGGTAGAAAGCCCGACGGGTGTTCAGTGTTGATATCCTTAAAAAACTTGTTGATTGCTATTCTATATGATGGGGACTATATGTGTATTGAGGTCCTTGCGCTAGTGCTTGCTCTAGCCCTTCGCTAGTACAGTGCCGGTGCTCCGGTACAGTAGATGACTGTACCGACACTGGCAACTCTTTAAAATCATGCAAAACCATACCCAAAGAGTATACTAGTCCTCCATCCTGTAGATTCCTGTAGATCTCTGAAAAACTTCCTCTCTACTCGCGTTCCACCCATTCCGTCACCTTAATCCTGACCTTGTTGTTGTCGATTAGTCCTCTTTTCGAGTTATCCATCTGCCATTGGATACGTTTATTGAGTGCTTTCGTATCTTTCTCTTTTGGGTTAATAATCTGGGCAGTAATAGAAAGATCGAACGATGCCTCTGGTTGGTATACAGATGCAATATAAGCTCTTTGCGTCTTGATTCAACATAGATAGATAGTATTTCCTAAGCAGAACCAAAAAAACGTCTTGTTCATATAGTCAATATACTCCTCCTTATCGATCTTGTCTTAACAAAAGATTGAAAGTTGTGGTCCTTGGTCAATTCGGTTAATTTGGACAATTTGGATTTGGTCAATTTGGTCGATTTGGTTGATTTGGTTAATTTTGACTTGGTCGATTTGGTCAATATTAATGATATTGGATAGGTTACTTCGGGCGTGACTGCGTAGTTGCATATGAGGCTGGATAGTTGGTGGTGATACCTGTGGTTGTGGTAACTGTTGTTGCTGTTGTATAATGACTTGTGGGGTGCTCAAAGGTCGTCGTAGTGGTGCAGGTGTTCTAGCTTCTTGTTCGATTTCTTGCTTTTTACCAGGGTTTTCTGGCTTTTCGTAGAAGGGTTTCACAGCAGTGCTCCTAAACTTAATTGATCCGCTTGGGAGTTCTATATTGCATGTTTCATTCTTTATTGCAAGCAATTTGAATAATTCTGTTTATTTTCCTGGTTTGTTGTTTCCTTTATCCGGTTGTTTCTTGTCTTTGTCTTTGCCTTTCAAACCGTTGTAGCATCTTTCTGGAGATGCTATTGATTTTGCTGGGTTTCCGGGTAGTGATGGCGATGCTGGTTGTTATTCAAAATCTGTATAAATTATATTGGTGTATATACCAGATCTGAATTTTGAGTCAAGTTCGGGGTTTTTCTTGATGAAATCTTTGATTGGTGCCTCTATCTACCAAATATATTTACTTGTTCTTGTTGTGTTGAATATGGCGGTTGTGATATCGGCTCCTGGAGTAATATAGAGTCCTCTGTGGTGTAATATCTGTTGTATTTGCTGGAGTAGATATTTGTTGATTACTGATATATCTTCTAATATGAACTGTCCGAAGTTATAATGAACTAACTCCGCTAGGTCTATATCAATAATGTTCTCTCCGTTGTATTGAACACATTTGTATAAGGTATATTTATTGATTTCGTCGATATCTGTATTGGGATCTTTATCGACGATAGTCCAGTTCCGATATTTCTTTTTCGCAGTATAGTATTCGAGTTTGCCTTAATCGATTTCTTGGGAACGTTCCGATATGGTGCTTGAGGGTATGAAGGAAGGGTTCTAGATAGTGTTTTTGTAATAAGGAATTTGAAAAGTGAAAGAGTATCTTGAAAGAGTTTTCTTGAAAGAGTTGATATGCTAATTTGTAATCACTAATTAGTGTTGGTATTAATGGGAACATCTTTCAGGTCTACAATGGTAGAAAGCCCGATGGGTGTTCAATGTTGATATCAATAAAAAGCTTGTTGATTCCTATTC